TTAACGTGTAAGCTCAATAATGAACTCCAGCTCAACCAACCATATTGTAATATCTAAGTAATCATCTTGAAATATGACATTAATAATTGTAATATACACACATCTTATTGTGAGGTTGATTTCACATACACTACTTCGACGTTAGCTTGTCTACATACTCGAGCATAGCCAATTTAAATTAACCTTAGCGATGCATACAGTTCCTACCTACATAATAAAATATCTCTCTAAGTTACAAGGATGACCTTATTTTATCAACCTCAAACAGAAGCCGTTTGTTCTACAGTATTATCCCACTTAACGCTTAACACTTGTCTATTTCGTTTTAACCTTTATATATACGGTCTATGGTGTTAAGTTAACTTGGAGGCTACGATTAGCATCGTTAGCACCGATGTAGCTACCACTCGCTTACACGCTAACCCAAGCCTTAACATTCATTACGTAGCTGATTAAAATCATAAACACATAAGTACTCGAATTTCACTTACCGCAAAACGGCATTCATGCACCGTCTGTTTTAACCGCAGAGCGAGTCACAATAGTCCGATATATAAGCATGAAGAACAAACAAACACGGCCGGGGTCAAGTTGTGTTCCCTGGATGAACTGGGCAGGCAGAGTCCCTGTAGCTTCACGGACGGAGCAGCTAGCAGAGAGACAAGAAGCTAACAGCAGCAGTCACTTGACAGAGCTGTCACTCAATGTGACCACGCCCTAATTTATGCAAAAACTTTAAGACCTAATATAAATAAAAGGGTCATGTTAGAAAACAATTCACTCACAGATTCATAATCATGAAGGTGGAATCTAACTATATACATAATAAAATGTATTGCAGCCACGGCTAGAAACGTTTTTTTTCTGCTGTGAAATTGGGCATTTTAACATGGGGGTCTATGGAAATTGCTCCTTTCTGCAGTCATCGCCTATCGGCCAATATATGAACTGCAGTTTGTGGCACTTCCGTATTGGCGTCCCGGCTCTTCCCCAGAGTTTGCCGCTTGGTAGCAAACCAGTAGTCTGTATTATTGAAAATGTTATTCGCCACCAGTCAACATGAATTAGCTTGATAGTAATAATAATGGACATTTGAAAGATTTACAACAGCTTTTTATGACTGCTTAATAATTTGCTTCATGATTAACCATTCCGCACAACAACACCCATGTTGGCTAAATGTGTTAGCAGATGCTTTAAGTGCGATACATGCACCCATTTTATAATTGAATGCGCCATATAGAACAGCTGGTGATAATATACAATGATGTATTTGGAGCTTTAGACCCTACAAATATATTAGCAGACTCATATTTAATTATATTCTGTTCCAATCTTATCGACTTTTAGCAGAGCCTGGTGGGAAATGTGTGGTAAAACCATGAGGACGCAGGCTTTGTAAATTAAAACTATAGAAGCTAGAAAAAGGTTTTTCAATAGCCAATCTAATTTTTTCTTAATATATTGTTAATAATGTCATGAACAGGTCATTACTAGACATTTGTAGTGATTCCCGTTCGTTTTCATATCCACTTGAATTGTGGTGGGGTCTGCCTTGTGTGTGGGGAGATGGAAGAAGAGGGTCACCCTCTGTCCTTTTGGGAGAGGGTGAAAGATATAAAAGTGTCAATGTGGATACCTATGAAATTGACATATTATCTAAAACATTCATATTTCAATGAATAGCGTCCCCTTTGATGCAGTTTGGCAGAAACGTCATCATTACAAACAGAGTTAGCTGACACTTCCATTAAACATTTACAAGGACTGGCCTCTTTCTTTCACTGCGACAAGAGATTTCTGGCAAGGTTATGTCTACAATGTCTACTCAGTGAACTCAACACAGGTAAATAACCGCTCGTCAGTAGGGTCTAAAAATGTTTGTTGCATTAAATGTTTATTACATAGAGCACAGGACACAACATAAATCAGTGACCTTTCAGGGAGAAATACAGACTCATCATCATCTGAGACTCATGTCATCAGAAAGGGAATGGAAAAAAAAGCAATCCGTTCCCTTTCTCAATAAAACAGTATTGATTGATAGTAATGTTCTTTTTTGTTTGGATCCATGAACTCAAGATTTCAAATTTAAGAGATTGACCATTGTTGACAACAAGTCTTTATTTCACTTCAGATTTTTTTAAATACTAACATCAAATACACATTCTGGTACTCTCTTGAGAAGAAAAATAAATAAATCTATTACTACACGACATATTTAAAAAAATGTTTTGTGTTACTTTGTTCTGAAAGCTGAACCTTCTGCTCCTCACAGAGAGAAGAGGGAAGAGGCTGTGTGAATTACTTTACATTGTGGATAAGGGTGGATAGCCCCCATTGTTCTGTGTGTCAAAATGAAAGATAGCCCACACACCTATCAATCATCAAACCGTGGGGTCTTATTTCATTACGTGTTGATTTCTATCAACACGTAATGTTGTATCGATGTATATAGAGATGTACTACAGCAAAAGTATTCTCCGTCGGGACTTCCTGCAACAACACCACGCCGTTATCGTGATTCCGATTGGCCAGAAGACATTATCAAAGATGTTCTATTGAGAAGACGATCACTACGTGACAACAGTTTTCAAAACCGTTTCTAGTCTTCGGTATTCTTGTTTTTGGCGTGAGAATAGTTTGGGCAGCGTGAGAGCGTGAGATTGAGAGTGAAAGCGTGTGTCACACGCCACATGCGTGAGAGTTGGCAACCCTGAGTTACAGTAGTAACTATGGCCAGTACTTACACGGCTTAGAACCGTAGTTACAGTAGTAACTATGGCCAGTACTTACACAGCATAGAACCGTAGTTACAGTAGTAACTATGGCCAGTGCTTACATGGCTTAGAACCGTAGTTACAGTAGTAACTATGGCCAGTACTTACACAGCATAGAACCGTAGTTACAGTAGTAACTATGGCCAGTGCTTACACGGCTTAGAACCGTAGTTACAGTAGTAACTATGGCCAGTACTTACACAGCATAGAACCGTAGTTACAGTAGTAACTAAGGCCAGTACTTACACGGCTTAGAACCGTAGTTACAGTAGTAACCGTGGCGGTGCTTAAAAATGTCAGCCAAACGGCTGCACACTAGATAATATAATATTGGGAGGATGAAATCCTCTTCAATGGCCACACATGCAGAGCACACAGCACACACAGTGAAGATTGTTCTCTGCATCTGCTCATCCTAGTGCTAGGAGTCTAGTACTAGGAGCAGTAAATACAACGATATAGCGCTACTGCAATCAAAACCATACATTACCGGGAGCGGGAGCGAGAGCACTGCCCTCACCGGCTGAGTTAAATAATTAAGCTTAACAGTATGGTGTTAGCCAAGCGACTGCTGCTAACAATCAAGCGACCAAGTCAAAACACAAATGTTAAGACCAGATAATTAGCTTCTATGGAATAGAACAGCCCGCATAGAACCGTAGGCCATGGTCACAGTAGTAACCATGGCCAGTGCTTACATGGCCTAGGACCGTAGTTACAGTAGTAACTATGACCAGTACTTACCTTACTCTCTGCATCTAAACAAAAAACGGGCAAAATATGGCACCCTGGGCTTTCCATACTAAATTGAATGAGAGACGCTGCTAAAGCTGCACGCGGCCAGCTGCCTGCAGAGAAATCCCTCAGATCAAACTTTCAAACCTGAACGCTGTAGGCTACAAGAATGTAGCCGCGGTACTCTCGCGCAGCGAGAAGATGAAAAGGAATCGATCTGCTAATGACGCTGGCCTATGTAGCCGTCGTCACGTGGGTCACAGGTGACTTTGTTGTTATTAGGTACTCGAACTGCGCATGCGTGCGATGGTTATATCCAGTGCTAAAGCACCGCCTCTGGCGGTCAGTAGGGACGAAATAGAACTGGCGCTCTTAAGCATATGGCCATTGGTCAATATCTCTGTAAACTTTATGTGGCTTAGTGCCAACCCACAAAACAACACAATAACTTAATCACATCATTGTTCATGTCTGACCTGCACAAATACTTATAATCAAATATTTAGACAAGGGAGGTCCCATTCGTGTTTGTTTCAACCATTGATTACTAAAAAATGAAATTTCCTTACAACTGAACTCTATCCTGAATACCAGTTTTGAGGGAAACATGTATTCTACTTGGCTAGAGTTGTGGCATTAAACACCTGGTTATTATGGAACATTGTAACAAAACAAAAATGCAAAATAACTACTTTTAGGTTTAGTAAATCATCATGGTCTGGCTTTAAATGTTTTTACACAGGACACAAACACCATTTTGTTTTCCGGTACAACATATGTTGCCATGAAAAGGTGAATGACAATGCAGTTTAGTTTTACGGGAATATTGTTTTTAGGAGACCAGGCTGGGATTTTTTGCCTCAATACTGATTCGACTCCCTTAATATGTACCATGCTAAACCTAATCTGACAAATGTTGATTAAATATGTCTCTGAAAGGCCATATTACTCTAAAGTTGATAATAAAGAAAGTTCAGCTTTAGACTTCTCTCATTTAGACCCTTTTTTCGTCTATTGACGCCTGGTTGTTTCAGAGTTAGGGTTTGGGTAAGAGTCCTTTTTATTTGCTGCTAAAAAAGTGAAGCACTTCCCCTCTGGGGACCCATAATCTCTTGCTATTTGCTCATAAACCTGGACTTTTCAAGGAGTCCGTTGGACCCTTCTTGATGAATGGGCTGACATTTCTGTTACTTGTGATAGATCTGTTGTCCTATTCATCAAACTATGCTCTATTCATCATTTTCTCAATGAACTCAATATAATCTCCACAAGGCTGTCTGATGCTCAGGTAAAAAAGAACTAATGTCTCGAAGCTACTAAACCCTACTGCAGTGTGAATGTGTAATGCTATTGTTTATGATTTTTTTCTGTGTTGGCGAATAAGCCTGGATATTCTTGCAAAGCAATTTCCTGTAATTGCATAAGGGTGATAAAGAGATGTTAAAGGATGAAATGGGTTGAAAAAAATGACAAAAGAGAAAATGCTTCTGTGATGGGAGAAAAGTGTTTTATGTGTTTTATTGCAAGAAAAGCACAGATTTAGTCACATGGATAAATGACTGCCATTTGAATGTTCTTTCATCATTTCGTGAAAATGGGGAAATAAACTGTGAATCATCCGGTAATGTTTGGGAAATTGGAAGTAAAACAAAACTCTGCAACTTCAGGGAAATGACTGAAAATCCATTTATTTCCCCAGAAAACTATGCCCAATTAACTATTGGAAAAAATACAAAATATGAAAAGTTAATGCAGTATTATATCAATAGAAAAGCACAAAAAGGAGAGTGTGTTGCTATGGTCTAGACTTCTGTTGGATCGATAATTCTCCCCATAAACAGGATGAGCCCCGTGAGATCGTCATAGATTATGAGCATGAATGGTCTGTTAAAGGTGATCCTCGGGGGGACAGAGAAGTCCAGCAGTATGTCAGGCCTCCCCCCGTCTTCTGATTCGGTTTCTTCCACCTCCAGCATAACCTCATGAGGAGCCTGAGTAATGGCACAGAAACAGGAGTAATGAGAGAGCAGATATGAATGTGCATATTCCAGAGAAAGAGAGAGATGAGCGAACGATGTAGTTCTGTAAAGTCTGGTACATTTCTTAATGTGTAATAAGATCTCAACCAAGCACTTAGGCCTAGTTTCATGATCCATTCTGACAAAGGAAAATAGGATATTTTGGGTCTCTCTTAACCTTGACGAGTTTCAGCGTCTTCCGTGATATTCTTGCAAAATCGGCTGAGTCCGAGAAAATAGATGACACCCCAGAGTTCCTCAGGAGGCTGTCCAAATTGTAGGATTTCCTTAGATGGAACTTAGGGAAAAGGATTTCTGCCCGCCTGTGAAAACAATCAATGTTTTAATGGATTTGCTCTAAGATGTCTTGTTACAACTTGTGGGACCCTTACTGCGGGCTTCTGCTCACTGATGTGTGGAGAGCTGTAATTATTGCTGACTTAGAATCTCCTCAGCATCATTCATCATGCTACCCAACAACAGAAAGCAAATGACTGCAGGGGAACCGCACCATGACGTGGATCAATATAATGCACACTCAAGGACAGGCAAACACCATTTACAGAGGGCATACTGTACATGGACACACTCAAACTCAACATATTTTACCCAATGCTGCACCAATTAACCCTTAGCATAAACACATGTAAAACTAGCCTGTAATAAATACTACCTTTGTGCGGTTAATGGGTCAGTGGATAACATCTCACACTTATGTCACCACCTACAACAGTGTATCAGGGCCATTGAAAAAATGAGAAAATTACCATAAAGTTGGGGAGGGGGGTAATGTAAAATAAATGATTCATCTCAGAGACTTTTGGAATTTCTTTCTATCAAATTTATGACTGCATGATGAGAATATATATATATAAGGGTTTTTTTTCCTTGTAAATTCAAATCACATACAATATTAAATGTTTCTTTAGCATGATTCAGAACCTAATTTTAAGAATATTCCGTCTTTTTTCTTGGATTCTTTTGTGGAAGTGTACCACTTTAATCTCTGAGAATATCCTTCTTTTTTTCCACAGAGATTCACAACAAAAAATTAGGAAATCGTTAGTTTTTTCTTCTAAATTACCTCCGTTCTCAAGCTACTGTAGTTCTTAGATAGATAGATGATAGATGTATACTTTATTGATCCCAATTTAGGAAATTCTTTTGTTACAAAAACAGCAGTGTGTTCCTTTTCATTTTACTAACACTTAGAGGTCCTCTTGGCCATGATTTCTTACTGAATTCAATTTGATAAGAGCTTGATGCAATTTAAATAAGACTGCAAAATGGCATCATCCTTGTAGCTGCTGACACTTATGTCAATGCGCGTACAAGAATTAAAAAACAGCTTGCCATGGTTTGCCCCTCGTTCCTCTTCAACATTAGGACTCCCCACCTACCCCGGCTTCAGGTTGCTGAGCCAGAAGCTCATGCGGCTGTCGGAGAGGCAGTCCTCCAGCGGCTGCAGCTCGGCTTTAGGGAGCAGCAGCAGCGAGGCCAGGCGCTCTGAATACTCCAGCCGCACCACTGTGGCTGAGCAGTTGGTGTCGTACAGCATCATCACCTCAGAAGAGTCGTCCCTGAACATCATGGAGACCTCCACGCTGCTGGTGGCGTTCAGCTGGAAGCTGCGTGGCACTGTGTGGAGCCTCTCAAATGGCAGACGACCTGATTTATGTGTCATTAATAAAAAGGAACAAGTTAATGATAAACATATGAAAGTGAATTAGCGGAGAAAGAGAATGCACTGCTATTAAAAAAAGCTGTGTAAATTTACAACCACCAACTGCCACAAGAGAGCATCTGCTCTACATAAATAACAATGACTGATGAAGAAGCAGGTGCTCAAAATTCTGTGCAGTGGGTTGTATCGCAATGACACAATGAGAACGCTTTCTAATTTAGCTGCAACTCATTTCATTTAATCTTTTCTCTGAATGTGTTTCTGTAGGTGTACGTTTTTCATTTGGAAAATGATTCATCTGTCTGGATTTTTTTACACATTTAGGGGACACGTCAACCCCCAAATTACCATTTGTATATCAGTTACACACTCCATGTTAGAAGAATCCAAAATCGGAGAAAGGTTGTGATGAATTTAAGTAAATGGGAGCCGCGTTTGAAACAGGAGAACTTTATCCAGACATCTGCTTAAAACTCCTACACAGGTCTTGTAGTATAATCCAAGCCTCATTTATCAAGTTGTATGCTCAGAACTTCCCAAACACATGCATTTTCAATTAAACCTTAGGAAATTATAACATTTGCGCGCCTAAAGTAGTCTCACCAGTGGCGGCCGGCCCATAGGGGCGCCGCCCCCCCTCTTCCCACATGTTTGATTGTCATTAAAAATAAATAAAAAAATATATATATATTTTATTTTTATGTTTATTTTTAATGAACAAGGTAAATATTATATAGTTGGTATCAGTAAAATGTATAATCTACAATAAAATCTCGTTTACAATTGTGTTACGATGTCTAAAGTTACTGATAAATCACATGTTTCCTGCCTGGCCGCAGCGTGTATCATTACCCTCTCTCGTCTGGGCGCTAAGAAAGGAGCCCTCAGCCAGTGCAGCAGCAGCCAACACATTGCTGACTGTTGCTATCTGTAAACTATGCCGCCGAAACATAATTACAGCCAATCAGCGTCGTCAGATCTGATGGTCATAGGGCGCTAATTTCAGCGCCCAATGCAGTCTGTGAGTTGTTTGGACTCGTATCCAAGGTGACGCTACAGTAGTTAGTTGATGAGGATGGCTGCGTCTGCAGGTGGAGACTCCGGGTGCTAGTGGATCGCCGGAGCTGTAGATTAACATTTACATGCTTATTGTAGGTGTAAGGGCAATGCCTGTAGCACCATGGAGCATATGTGTGGGCTGGACCTGTATTTTACAGGAAAGGAGTGAGCAGAGGGTCGAGTTGTCGATTCTTGTTCAGTTTTCTGTGACTATCTTCCTCACCCTCTCAGACTTTGAGTTGCACGCGCTGCTAAAGAGACGCGCTACCATGGAAACCAAACAATGGTGTAGCTGTATTAAAGTCAGAGTGGAAACAGTTGTGAGTAAATCTGATTTTGTCAGAAATCGGGAGAAATGCGGGAGAAATATGACCCCGGGAGGAAACCGGGAGAGGGCAATGAAAATCGGGAGGGTTGGCAAGTAGACACGCAGGTGCGCTATGGTCCGTTCAAGTACGGTTTCCTCCAATTGTTTTAAAAGTAATGGTAAAATAAAAGTGCGATTGCTTGACAGTAGTAAGGGTACGACTGTATAAATGTGACTTGAATTATACTGCATGAGTTGTGTGAGAGTTGTACACTAACATTATACTATATTGCTGTTGTTAAACGCAGCCCCCATTTTACGCAATTCATCAAGACTTTTCTCTGCTTTTGATTCTTCGTTCACGGTTAAGGAATATCAGAAAAACAAACTTTGGTGAAGAACTCATAGAGGCAAGTAATTGGTCCGAGTCATTTTAGGGATATTCCTGTTCAATGTATTGAAATACTACCTTTGAAATACACATAATTGCTAAGTTCAAGTTTATCAGAGGCTTCCAAGTCTTTCATCAACGTGTCTAAGCTGATGTTAAAGGCGGAGGGTCCAGTTTGCTGAGGCCTGGACAAAAAGCTGTCATAGTCTAGTAAAGGTTTCCCATCAATATGTAGGCTGTTCCAAAGTCTTAACTGAATGCCAGGATGAACCCCATCCTCAGTTCCATTTCTCGCCTCTGAAACATTATCTACATCGGCTCTGTCTCCAGCATCTGCCCCTCCGATGTCCCCCTCTCGTGTGGCCCCAATCCCAACTTCGGTTTCGCCTGCGGACTCTGCCCTTTGCACCCCATTGTCGCCCCCTCCCTCCTTGAGAGCGAGTCTGTGTTGCAGATCTGTGAGAGCAGATATGGTGGCTTCCAAGCTCTGCTCTGTAGAGTTGGCTGCCAGCCCCAAGGCCTCCAGGGCCTGGCTCCGACTCTCTGACCCAGTCACTTGGGACAGCAGGGCCAGAGCTGATGCCAGGCCCAAGGGCGAGAACAAGATGTTGTGCTGTATCTGGACACCGGGCGTGGAGTTGGCTCTGGTGGCAAGGTCACGGTAAGGTTCAAAGGCCAAGGCTGTGTTTAGGGCTGATGTGTTGAGCTGCTCATTGACCTCCTGTTCCATTCGCAGAGGCCTGCTGAAGACTTTCTCAGACTCTGGTAGAACCGACCCATCTGCTTGGACACCCGTTAGCAATGCCATCATTGTAAAACGATACAGAATGGACATCCTCGCCTCTTCTCTTGTCATCCTTCCTCGGCCCTGATTCAGAGACGCTGCAGGTTGATCTCACAAAAGACCGGCCAAACTCCAGCTTTGGGGAAGTGTTGTTCTCGTGGCTTCGTGCGGGGGTGGCGGTGGCGGTGTTGAAAGTATATCGATCTTTGGCGCTGAGCTTTTGACCCGTGGTTTTAGCTCCGAGCAAACAATGCTGGCATGTTTTTTTGGTTTCTTAGAATTTCAGCAGCAATGCGTGTGTGTGTGTGTGTGTGTGTGTGTGTGTGTGTGTGTGTGTGTGTGGTGTGTGTGTGTGTGTGTGTGTGTGTGTGTGTGTGCGTGCGTGTGTGTGTGTGTGTGTGTGTGTGTGTGTGTGTGTGTGTGTGTGTGTGTGTGTGTGTGTGTGTGTGTGTGTGTGTGTGTGTGTGTGTGTGTGTGTGTGTGTGTGTGTGTGTGTGTGTGTGTGTGTGTGTGTGTGCGTGTGTGTGTGTGTGTGTGTGTGTGTGTGTGTGTGTGTGAAAGAATAATTATATCTTCACAAACAGTTGATAAGCTTTAACTATCATACAGAATACAACAATTATAAAAAACAGTATACATTCTAAGTCTCAAGAGACACTGAGAGTGTGCAAAATGTCAAAATCCTCATTAAATATAATCTTAAACTCACCAGTTAATACTGTTTCTTTTTAAACAGCAGGTCATGTGGGATACTCAGCAATCTACAAAACGCTACATGATGCTCCAACGCCACCGTGTGGTTGATGAAGTCAACTGGAATTGAAAGTATTTCTGCCACAAAGAAAAGCATTTTTTATATGCAAGAAAACAACTCTCCAACCATGTGTAGTAAGACCAAGCAGCTGACAAAATATGTAACAATGGGGAATTATGTGTTTTCATCAAAACTAGAGCCCAAATTACAAATATTTTAATTGGGAGCAAAAAACAATTACAATCATTAAATGTTGGCCTGAGGGAAAAATGTGTGACACAAATAAATACTCGAACCAGCTCTAAGTGTGTCCTTTTGCGGCTTGAAATTGTGCTAATAAGAATACTGTATGTAAACATCTCTTTTTCGTCCATATGCTTTTCAAGAACATCCTGGCTTATTCGCCAACACAAAAAGAAAACTCATAAAAAAATCTATGTGCAGTAGAGTTTAGTAGCTCCGAGAGTTGAGAATTTTTAGCAAGAAATACAAAGAAACCCTTTTCCTAACCCTAACTCCAAAACAATCGAGTAGCTCATGAAAAATAAGATGTGTCAGGTTTAGAGACTACAGCTCTCAGAGACAGATTTAATCAACTTTTATCAGATTTGATTTGGTAGAATTGGCAGATACCAAATATTAAAGGAGTTGAACATACTTCTTTTAAGCAAGGACATTGTTCCATTAAAATGTTAACCAGTTATTTAAAAGTACAACAGTACCCCAGTCAACCTAAATCAAGGAATCAGTTTAGTATCGTATGGGAATGTCATTTTGTTTTTGGACAGGGTTAAAAGAAAAAACATGATTGGGACATCATCAATAGTCTGAATATTTGAACATTTTTTGTTTTGTTTTTGTTGCAGGTTAGACATGAGACATGTTAGATGGTATTAAGTTATTTTGTTATTTCATGGTTTGGCATAAAGCATAATAAAGATTCATTAAGAATATTGTATGTCTGAATTGTGGGGAGAACATTGCTTGTTCTCCCCACAAGCAATCTCTTTTCCTTTACAGTCGTAGGAGGTTTTAGATACAGTAACAGTGATTTTTTGCAGGATCATAGGGAATGTAATGACGTGTGTTTGGCTTTAACGCTGAACAGGAGTATTTCATTTGAGTTACCTTATCTGGTAGGGATCAAGTTGAGTAAACAAGCTATAAGTGAACTGTTTAATCAAGTAATTGTGACACTGCTGCTGTTCTGTATTTGATCAGGTCTGTCGCTGCCAAAGTTCTCCATCTCTGCTGACGCCTCCCTGGAGAGCACACTTAAAGAAATGGACATTTTTGGGAAAACCCATAAAAGCGTAATAGGGCTTCTTTAACTAACTGAGATACTGGACAACCAGATCCTCCAAACTAAAATAGAAGAGAAAGAGAAAGTGAACAAAAGAGTGAAATCCTAAACTAAGGATGTCTGGCAGTTGAGAGAGACAGAGAGAAATCTGCCTTCCTTCTTATATGGATCATTTGTGAAGATCTGGAGCACCTGAGCAGAGAGGTGATAGAGAGCAAAAAAGGGGGAGCGCGTAACTTAGAGTTAGGGTGCAGAGTCTAAAGCTACAGCTTACAAAGAAGCAATACAGTATTCTCCTTTTACAACAAACACAATACGCTCTTTTTTTGTTTTTCAGTAACGATGCAATCCGGCTAGTAATCCCCAACTGTTATAAATGTAACGTAAATGTAAGGGAACATTTGTATCCTGATTAGGTAATCCCGTTACATGTTATCCATTACTTCCCAAACCTGTCTTTAGGACATTATATATGTTTTTTCTATTGTATTTGTTTCCATTTGTTTTTTGTAAAACATACTTGTGTAATAATGCGTCACATTGTCAAGTCTTTTATTGATATTTGTTGAATGTGCCCTCATGTTATATGTTATTACCAGGCATGGATTGACATACGTCTCCGTTTAGCCATTTGTTGCAACATTAAAGGACATGTTACTTGCCTGCACAAATGCACAACTAAACCACAAATTCAAAAAGCATCTGACAATAATCTGATTGAGACTTCTAAAGATGGCATAATGTATTTAGGTGTTACAATAGTCAGTGAAGACAGATAGGGTTTGTTTTCTCATGTAAACCACAGCACACTTCCACAGGCCTTTAATCATTCATGATAAGATACAGTTGAAACAGTTGATATGTGATGATTGGATTATATTTCATCAGGAATCTAAGGACCAATGACAGGAGTGACTTTAAGCTGCTTGCTAGTGCACTGTTTGTGGCATGCATTCCCTTTGTTAACAGTGGCGGAGAAACAACAGTCCAATTTGTGCAGCCTAGCAACTTAACTTAAACACATCGAATTATAAAGAAAATCTTTGAACTTCACAATTATAGATCAAGCTTCAAACATGCGTATTTGGTAGTTTACATTTCTTTCCTGTCATTAGTTTAAAATGCTACCTCAAGGACATAAGTGTGATTTCACAGTTCAACTCTTGAGATGACATTTATGTCTGCTCAATAAACCATAAATCCTTTTGAGTAAGCTAAAAGAGATACACCTCTGTAAAAGAAATATTAGTAAATGCATTACTATACAAAATAAAGAAACTTAAATAAAAGGTGATAGATACACAACCCAAAGAACAGTAACTACAATGTGCACTCAGAAACCACAAATTAAAGCTGTCAAAGATGTCAATTGGATAAAAATTGGTTTGAAAGTCAGATTTCTAAAATGTCCAAAGGTGAACCTCAATTGATTTTAAGGTGGTAGTATATTTAAACATCTGGTAATAGGAAGGGCTCACTGCAGGGTGACTCAGAAGTTAATTTGAGGTAAGATGAAGTAGCAGTACAGCAGGATCCACAGGAGCAAGAGCATTTCCAGCTCTAATGGGGTTATGCCACAAAAGGCTGCTGGAGATTGAAAAAGGAATCCTCTTTCTCTGTTGGACAGAAGATAAAACACAGAGTGTTAGTTTCAGGCTAAAATTAGGCACTTCACGTCTATGTTATAATAACTGAATTAAAGCCTTAAACGACGATAACAATTACATTTTTGTAATGCTAATTCTGTAGTTTAGGCTAACTATGTCATGCTCTTTATTTGGTTTGGTAAAGTTACACTCTTGCAACTCTTATAACACTTGTATGATGTATTATTATCTACGAATTTGGAGAGGTTGTTCAAGGGGAAAATAAAGATCTGCCCTGTTTTCCCTCATTAAAAAGGTAATAACCTCAGAGAAAATACAATGACAACTTTCCTCCTGATTCTGAGATAATGATCTTGTTAAATCAGAAAATGTAGTTATATCTTCAGTGTTTTAGCATTGCATGTATATGAAGCTTTTGAGACCATATTTGAGATCCCTTCTAATGGGGTCTTGTTATCTAAAACAGTAGTCTGACAGAAGAATGAAAATGTTAACATGAAGCGGAAGGTTTCATCCACCTCACAGTAGCGTAGCACTACTAGCATCAGTTGTTATTGCAGCCAACAAAATATATGTTGTTTATCTAGAAATGAGAATACTTCTGCTTCTCTATGTTTCTGTGTTAAACTGAAGACCCATTGTTTTAAACATTTTAGATAACTACAACTAATATAATTGGGAAGCCTGACAAATAGTTACTTTTCTTAAGTGCTTGGCTAATGGTCAACCCTGCTTGTATTTTCAAATCCTAATTGACATACTGTAACCTACCCGAATAACCAAGAAGTTGCACTGAAGGCAGGATGGACGTTAACACCTCCGTTGGTGTTATTTTTGGGGGCAGTTTTGTCAGGATGGTCTCCTGTTGTTGCCTTATTGACAGCAAGTTTACATTTCTCAGTCTTAATGTCTCTGTCGTTAAGCTCTGCAGTTTTGACTTCCTCAAAATCCATTGGATTCATGACTTCATCATTGTACCGTTCCTTGTTTTCTTCTTTAGAAGATACATTATCTATTTTTTGGGCATTGTATTTCCCATAATGTTCTTCTTTTGAGTTTGTTGTAGTTGCATCAGCTCTGCTGACTTCATTTACAGCCTTGTCAGTTATTATTTTTCCATTTTCTCCTACCTTGGCACTACCTCCCCACTTTTCCCTCTCTTCCTCCTTTACATTAACCTCTTCAACTCTTTCTTCCCCCTGCTGCCGTTCCTCAAATGTCGCCCCATGTTCTTCCTCTTCATTTTCAAGCACCTTTTTGCTCACTTGTCGACATTTTTCAAAAAGCCCTTTTTCAGTGTCTTCCTCAACCTCTCTATTCCAACTAGCGGCTTCGAAAACCCTTGTGTTCTTGGATCCATCTATAAGAGCGTCCCTTTTATCATGTCCATGCATTACACATCTAGCATTTTCTGTCTTCTCCCTCTCTTCCTCAGAGTCATCTCCAGCGTCATTACTCTGTCCTCTAACAACTCTCTCATCTTCCTGTTCCTCCCTGCTGTCTTCCTTTGGTTCTATGTCAAATGCCATCTCTGTGGAACTACTTTCATTTGTGTCCCTATCAAACATCCTATGAACCACTGACTGATCCCTGACTTCTGATGCAACATTTTGCACTAGGGAATCTTCTTGATGTGTACATCCACTGCCGTTTAAAATCTCACATTCTTCCAGATGTTTTGATTCAGCATGCTCTCCATTCAGACACATTTCTTCCTCCGTTTCCTCTTCAACCCTCGGAACTTGTTTTTGTATCTGATTATATGGTTGAAAAACCTCTTTATTCAGATCAAGTATGTAGCTGTAGGCATCCTCCTCGTCTGAGTCCAGTGCCGACAAGCTGTAGATTCCTTCCTCTGAGCTCAAAGAAAAGTGACTTTCGTCCACCCTTGGCTTGCTGTACTCCTGATCCGCAGGCGCTTTCTCCATCCATGATCGGATATCCTGGTTGGCAACGCCTGCATCCAGTGGACTGGGAGGCTGTAAAATGCTTCGACTCCTGCTTTTCGATTGTTTGAATGGAGACGTGGTTTCAGTTGTGTGAAGCGAGGTGGCACTCCCTTGGGATCTCCTTGCCCACCGTTTCCACAGTAGCTGTTCACTGCTCATCTTCATGCCCTGGAACAATGCTTGGGCTTCTGGGTCATCAGCGAGGGTTTCTCCAAGACTGACAGACTCAAGTGATCCAAAATGTGGGATATCAGGAACTTCCATATCTGTCGTATCATCCTGTAATATAGGGTTTATTAGTGATGGTACACGATATGACTATTAACTCAGAAAAGAAGTCTTGGTTCATAGTGTTTGTGAATCAGTTTGCTTTGAAGCTCAATGGAAGAGTTTGACATTTTATGAAATTAGCCGTTTCTCTTTTTTTAATGAGCGTTTTATGAGCGTTTTATGATAATTAATATCCACATAGATATTCAGCTATTAAGCTATATCCAGCAGCTGTTAGCTTAGCTTAGCATAAAGACTGGAAACAGCTAGCCTGCAAAGTCCCAACGTAACAACAACTAGGTTACAACCAGGCTAGGCTTGGAGCGGGCAAGGCAAGATGTTTCACCTGTATTAATGCAAGCTAAGCTAAGCTAAAGTAAACTAAACCAACCAACTGGTGGTAACTATATATATATAAAATACTTAAATGATAGTAATATAAATGTTCTCATTTGACTTTCAGAAAACAATATAAAGGAAACATTTTTGAACTATTCACTGCCGTACTAACCTCGTCTTTGTCTGGACAAAACCTCAGGAACATCGACACATAGGTGATGATGGACTGCTCATCTGGTGAAGTGCCTGACACATCTGCAGATAGAATAGTTTCCGTTTGTTAGCGGGTTATTTCACCACACTGAATATACTCAACCACAATTAAAGTCCTGCATTAAGAATATCACTTAGGAAAAACATATAGTATACTTTTGAAAATGTATACTCTTCACAAGAATACAAAATATAAGTACTTAATGCATTAAATTCACTGTCACTGTAATACTATTGTATATCTTATCATTATTATTACTTATGCAGCAATGTAAAAGCACGATTTCACTGTTGAAGTCTGTTCAGCTGGAGCATATTTTAACTATTTTGTATGAGAAAAATCAAATCAAATTTGGTGAAATCAAAAGTAGAAAAGTGCATTAAAAAAAGAGTACCTCAAATTAAAATGTAAAGGTGCTCAGGTAAACATGCTTCCACTATATCCTTACACATTTCACTATATCTTCATATAATGTTCTGAATAACAAATTGCTAACTAAATGTACTGAACATTCCAAACCTGCTAAGGAGACCATCCTGCTGGGGCCACTTTTGGGCTCTGTGTGATACTGCAGATATTATAAAATTGGCACTACACACAGCAAGGACCTCTGCTGATTTAAGTGAGGTCTTCTAATGAGTCTGAAATGGGACAAGTGCTTCTGATTTATTCCTAAAGCCCTTTGAAAGGGGAGATCATTACACCATGATGGGCTCTAAGCACATACTTAGTGTAGTACTGTCTATGAAGAAAGATATTTGTCTTAGTGGATATAAATAAATGAATGTGAGGCATTTTCTATTCAGTAAGCTTTTACCTTCAGGCTCCAGCAGAGGTGGTATGTCCAAATTGTGATGGGCTATCATGAAGGCCAGCTTAATGTTTTCTCTTGGCTCTCTGGACAGGCTCGCCCTTAGGTCAACCAAGGCTGTGTTTATGGACTTAATCATAGCGAGGAAGGCCAGCCCACTCCTCCAGCTCCTCCCAAAGTCATGAACCTCCACTCCAAACCTACACATTTAAAATTGCATTTAATAGAAAAATCACACAGCCAGTTCACACATGCTTGGGTTTGGGAGCCCTTTTACTGCAAAATGACTTTGTAAGCAGTTGGATCTTTTTCAGACTCACTTTGATGTGCATCTTTGGACCCATCGCAGTAGAGTCTTGATTGCTTTCCCATGGTACTTTAGCTCTTTGGCAGCCTTTTTGCCTTTGCTTGGCAGGGTGCTGCAGAAATAGCTGCCAATGTCATTTGGCGGGGGCGAGAGGTCGCTGGAGGAGGGGTAACTGCTCATTGATAAGGAGGAGAGGCTAGAAGATAAATGTCTCTGGAGGCCTGCTGTCACCTCTTTTACCTGCATTAGAGGGAAAGGGAGGAGTTGATGTAAGGTCAGCAACAAAGACAAATTGCACAAAAGGAGTGAAATTATACATTAAGACATTAGCATGATAGATAACGGGGGACGAAACCTGCCTGGAAATACAGGATCATGTTCCAGACAAGGTTAAGAACAACAGAGGGAATCCCATCAGCAATGCCAGAGGCATCGATGCCAAGCAGCTTCACCTGAGAGACAACACGGAGGAGACGTCAGCAGAAATCTTGTTTATCAGGATTAATGTTATTGTAATAGGCCACACATGAAAGCACTATCAATTGATTGATTTACAAACGAAAAACACTAACATGTCTATCATCCAGGAAAGCCAGGGCCTTGGAAATGTTGTTCAGTCTGAAAATGCGGTGGGAAGAAGACCTAAACCTGTAAAGCTAACAAAAACATTAGGAAAGGAACATTAAGGAGAATAGTTTGACCTTTTAGGACAACACAGTCTCACTCCCTGATAGTCCAAGAGCGACGCTTTTTTTTAAATATTGAAGTTAAATGCATCAATCTGGTGCATTAAGAGCAACATGAAGAGATCTATGGATACACCTCTCAACACCCATATGAAACAGAACTGTAAACAGATTTTCTTTTTCTTTATGGATATTTTACAAATCACTCCCCTTTTAAACTGTATTCTTGTTTTACTGTCATATAGTATTTCGTAACTGTTTTTCATGTATTACTCTTATATTACTATCTGACATCACATACATCGTAGCATTAAAGTTCACAGTTCATTTATAATTAAAAGAAAATGTTTTTATTTTTAATTTTTATAAATAATAAAAAAAGGTGTTTATTGGGGAAGGGCAGGAATGTCGGTAACACTTAATAAGGTATACAAAATGTGCTTAGTTACTGAGTAGTGAATAAGGAACGACTAGATAGTTAATGGTTAGTTAATGAGGAGTTCTGTTTACCAGTAACTAACCATCAGTTCTTCAATCGCAGTCACTCAGGAACTCCTCATTAACTAACCATTAACTATCTAGTCGTTCCTTATTCACTACTCAGTAACTAAGCACATTTTGTGTACCTTATTGTAAAGTGTTACCGGAATGTCCAATGGGAGGGCCTGGCCCTCCCACGGCGCCGGGTCTGCACTAGAGTGAGATGAAAACAGATTTGTATGCAACATTATGAATGAACTGAACTAAAATGGACCATAGGATAATTAAATAACTTAATAGTATTTTAATATTTTTCCAGTATTTAGCTTGACTCTTACTAGTTGGCACCCAGACAGCTCCTCGAGCAGAGCCATGAGTATTCTTCCATCTTGAATGTCTGTGAACAGGTCGTACACTTCAATCGGAGGTTCACGCTGGAAATGACAAATGAAAAACCTTATTGGTGATTGCATTTATGAGCTGAAGTATAATGGTTCAGTAAAGCTGTATTGATTTCTGCCTTACTCTCTGCAGAAACCCATTCATCCACCTGGTGAAGGTTCTCTTCTGCACTGCTTTTTTCTCATCTGGGAAAGAGAAAACAGGGACTAAGATGCAGTCATTTACCAATCAAACACTGTTAGAATATGTTAATGCCCGCTTTAACTCTGTAGCACATTTGTGGTTTGTGCTGAAGAACGTGTGCATCCCAGCTTAATGGATGACAGGCTTGCTTCTGGATGGCAAAGAAAGTTCGAAAGAAAATATTTATTTTACGAGAATGCTCACAACAAAGTCTGTGGATTATCTTTAGTAACTGGGTCATGATTTCTGGAAAGAGACCTTGCTGAGTTTTTCAATTGTACTTTTGGGAGATTAGAGCACCATGAGCCCAGTGCCATTTAATTCCAATATATAGGAGAGAAGGCAGACAGCCCTAGAGCTCATATATCCAACACTCACAACACAAATGTAAATTGATATACTTCAGGTCAGAAGAAAATAAAGTATTTTTGGGGCTACCTAAGTGTTTTCTGATATAAGACAACATTTAACGACGACTGAGACCTATTTTACTTTTGTTTCTCATGTTTAACATGCTACACAGCAAATCATGTAAAAAAAAAAAAAGTGTGTAGTATTAGGCAATCAGTTGCCACAATGCCAAATACACCTGGAAAATCCCTTTGAGGAAATACATTTAAGGAAGAATAAGATAATAAAATGTCTCTTTTTGGTAAATACAATTACGGTTTTCTTGATTTAACATACTATTACCACACAGTGGGTTAATATATGAACCATTAGCATGAGTCAGCCTTTCATTTCACAGTACCTTCAGGCTGCTGAATATGTTGAGCCTTCTCTCCCATGGACTTCTTCTGTGGATCCCGGTTGGCCTTGCCCTGCATTCTCATTCAACTTCACTTTTCCCACATATTTGTATGATCCATTGCGGAGATACACATCAAAACGTGAGGCTCTCGTAGCAATTAGCGGTGCTCTGAGGTTTCCTGACTAAATAAGGATGAGGCATTGTAGGCAAAGTGAGGCAGGGTATCTTGCCTGAACACGCTAGCTTCCACTCCCTCTGAGAGAACTCACCCTGAATCCTATTGGCAGGCTACGGATCATAAAACTATGTGGAGGCAGTCACACAGAGTTAAAATGAGGGAATCAGCTGGGTTTACTGTGGTGGGTTACAGGTGCTATGGTTTCCCTGCTGAAGTTTGTAATACATCTTTCTTGTTCTCATTACATGGCTCATTGACATAAGCATGTTCAGCTCAGGCTTTAGGGAGTGAACAGTCTTACTGTCTCTTCAGGAATCAGCAGATGCAGCCAGGATTTCCTACATTATTTGACATAATATGCGTTATTAAGGCAAGTGGAAACGTTTTATTATGGTTTATAGTTAAACCTGGAACCGAAACTTGTTTAAAACGTAAAAAGTCTGTATAGGCCTCTTCACCATCTTATATCCAGTGGTTATAGGCTACTCAAATCCGTTACTTAAGTATAAGTAGAAGCCATGGTATAATAAAGACTTAGAAGTACAGACTGAATAAAAAACGGACACATTTCAATACACTGAGAATAAAATAATCTAAAAAACAGCAACTAAACACATTATTACATTTGAGAATAAAACAAACAATAAAATAACATAAGAGAAATTCCAAAAAGTGTTTTAAAAGTAATTGAAAAGACCTGACAGTTTGCAGCCCTGCAAATATTCTGAAATCAAAATGTAAAATAAAAGTATTTAACAAAAAGAAGGCCTGCGTCCGGCATCAAAAGTAGGGCTTATATTGTAGAATATTTTCTTTTATATTGATTTTCACCCGGAGAGGTAAAAAAAACTATGCCTTATGTAGCATTCTTAAGTAAATGTAGACTACTAGGTTACCATCACTGCTTCAACCAGACTACAAAGTGAGGCCTTAAGGCATTTAGCCCTAAAACAGCCATGATGTGTTATAACAGCATGGGGTCTGCAATGGTGGGAATATGACATGTAAGCTACTGTGGATACATGGAAATGCAATTGAGTTGGAGTAACAGATTCATGTGTTCAATGGTTTTTTAGATGCCCAAACACAGCAGTTTGTAACACTCAATGCCATTAATTATTTCATGTTAGTCTCCATAGTCGCTGGCGAGACGTTTGTGGAAAATTGAGTCTGGTTTAACTTTTTGTCATGAAGGGGCCTCTCATTTTGGCAACCCCACTGCACCACCTTCAGTAAAAACTGTAAACTGTTTAAAAAGTCGTTCCAAATGTGGCTTCGCCTCTAAGCCAACGGGACTTCTGGTAACATTACTTTTGGCATCTTTAATATATTTAGTAAGTCAGACTGCTCTAATCTGTCCAACACAAGTCAATAACTATTTGACCCTTCTTGCCTGAGAGTAAACCATTAGTTTTCCTCACTCATGTATAGTGTGAATGTAATCTCATGCTTAGGGTACACTCGTGTTTTTTGCACTGAAAAGGTCAAACATACAAATAGATAGGTATTTGACATTTCATTTAGAGTAATGTTAACATGTAATTATAATAAATCCTTAATGAAAGAGTAACGTTTTCAATCATTTAAAAGTATCTGTTGGAGCCTAAATTCAAATTGTGGATCTAATATGTTTAATGAAATTAATACAAAACAGGCTGTGAAATGCGGCTTCGTGACCTACTTTTTATTACAGTTTTCTATATTTCTCATCTGAGCTCGGCAGGGAACTTCAATACATGTTCAATCAATATCATCTACCATGAAGGGGCAGATTCACTGAAGACACTTATAGTTTGGTGGACAGTGCAGGAAGAAACATGTTTTTATTGTCAATTATGAGAGCTATTTAGCTTCGACAACCTGTGTTCTATCGGAGATAGGAACAAAACAGTCAAAATACACATACAGGTGTTTTTATTGCCTATTTTGTGTGTAGATTTCTAATAACTCAGTAAAAGTTAGCATGACATTTCGCCTCATGTGCATATTTAAACATATTGTCTCTGAAAACCTGTAATAAAAACGCTGCTCCAGAAATCTTTATTTCAGGAGCACCTGTTACCAGTTGTTCCTATCTATATTCTGAAGTTTTTTTTTTTACATCAATAGGCTGGTTCAAAGAACATTGTATTTCAAAAAATGGTTGAAATTGACTTTTTAAAAAAAATAAATTTCTTGACTTTTACAGTAGATTGTAATACAAAAATATGTAATATTTTCTTTGTGAAATACTTTAACTTTAAAATGACAAGAATTATGAAACCGTTAAATGGGTCAATAATTCTCCCTTGGTGTCTACCCTTAAGGAGAATCAAAGTAAAATCAACATGGGAACACTGCTAATCATTGCCTGTCCAAAATATATATTTAGTAATAATATAACTGGCCACTAACTCACTGCTTGTTTGTGTTCACTTACAAACGCGGATACTTATTTTTTAAACCTTGGCTATTTTGTTAATCGTCTGTTTGCCTCTTCATTTAATATGTAAGTCTACCCAGTTTATTTTGCCTTTTTATCTGCAATATCCCTTTTGCTGTAACAATGTCTCATTTCCCTATGAGATGACGTTTTTTGATTTCTGATGCAAATACCTAAACCAGATGTCTCATTTGTTTTGCAAGTCATATGAAAATGAATAAAAAGGAAAATAGTTCATTTATATAAACTCCATGTTAGTTTGTATGATCTCAGTGAGAACATATAAAAAGCAGTTTAAACAATTACAATATCTTTTTTAAGTTGATATATATATATATATATATATACACACACACACACGAAAATAATCCCTGATCAAGTGTTTTCTGATATTTTTGTCTGTAAAATACAGTACGTTATTGTGACAGCTGACAGTGCTCGACACAAAGAGCTTTTGTTGCTCCAAACAATATCGTGCTGTCAGGATTTTACTCTACATGCCTTAAGAAAAGCAATGGCTACGGAGTGAAGCCATCACCACCGTGGAAAGCAGGTATTGTCTGTCCAAAGAACATCGCACGTGAAACTCCTGAACCTCGAGAAGTCACGCCTTTTCATTCTTTGAAATACTTTCTGCAGCCTTGTTGTGCACACAAGCAACACTTCATGCGAGGAGCAACCTCACAAGGCTGCAACGATGATAACATGGAAGAGTGACAAATACAAACAGTCATTAGCATATGACATATCTAACAGTGACAACAAGAATAGAGTTGAGAAATCTTAAGTGAACAAACGGCATTTCCATGTATATTCACATTTTTTTATTAAAAAGCAAACATTAAAATGTGGATTGGGATAATGACTCAAAATTCTGAGAAAAAAAAATTGGGCCAACTCAAGAAACGCCTTAAGACAGATGACATTACTCCTGACCTTCTAGCTGAAACGTGAAAATTAGAAATACTTTTTTATATTATGGAAAGCTTAATGAAAAATCTTAAGTTTCTCAATATATCTCTTTTCCAACTGGGACAATGTGTGATTCAAATACACTGAGTGCTATGGAAAGCAATCCATAACGTTTGTTTCTCGTTGTATAACAACAGGAAGCACATTGTCTTTGACAGGTTCCAACTGTTGTTTGTGCTTTTTCATATGTAATGCAACTCTGGTCTCAATCTCCACCATTGCTTCATGATTGATGAGCCCAAAATGTCTCTACCAAGCAGCACCAACACCAGCACCCTGTCCGGGCAGTCACCCTGAAGAAGGAATCACTTCCTCCCCATGATGAAGCTTGGAGCCTCGGCATCATCTTCAGCCTCCCTTTCCCGCTCCCCATCGTCTTCTGAACTGCTTTCCGAGCTCTTCTCTGCATCGTCTTCTCCTTTGTTTTTGGACTCGAGTTTTGCCATCTTTGCCATCCGCATTTTGCGCTTCAGTTTTTCCCGCTTCTTCCTGCGTTTCGCTGTTCTTTCATCGGCCGCCAGTTTGTTTAGCTCCACTTTATCGAGATATTCGATGTCCTCATTCACTTTCTCTGATATCTTGTCCAGAAAGTCTTGCCTTTGGTACTCCCTGCGTCGGAGGTGCCGGTAAACGTGGAACTCCCCGCTGCCCGCACCGGCGCTGGAGCCCATCACATCCCGGACGAACTCCGGAGGAGCCCGCGGGTTCCACTCCTTTGGCCGGTCTGGGATGGGAGCAGGCTTATCCGGGTTCCGCATCAACCTCTCCAACTTCAGGCGCTGCTCCTCCGCCGGAGTTTTGGCAATTATCAAAGGCTGCGACTCCTTTCCTCCAGGTTTCCTTGGCTTGTTATTCTTCTGAGTGTGCGCCGCCATCTTTCCAACCGTTCTCAATGCTTCTGCCTTCCTCTCTTCTTCCGGTTTGCTCAAGTCGCCCCGGAAGTTCTTTAGGGCTTCCGTTACCTGGAAATAATTATTTTACTCTTTTTTAATATAAGATTTTCCCAATAAAATACAAGTTGATAAGTTGTGTGATAGTGACTGTAGTTGTTATGAATTATTTTGTATTAAATTATCACACTGTATCTTATTTCTTGTGTAACTACGGTAATTGACGCACGTATGCACCAATCGCAGATCACATGAGAATTTGTTTGGGCGCAGCTGTCCAATCAGCGTTCATGTCCCGCCCCATCTCTCGAGCGTAACGTGTGTTGACTGCCTGGCTTTACTCCGGCTTGTTCAGAAGCAGGTTAGTCTATTTTATGACATTTGTTCGCGTCTGATAAAGACAAAACTCACCAAAGATCATGAACAGTTTAATTCGAAATACTGCGAGGTGTTTGCGGTCTGGAGCAGCCGTCTACATACCCAGACAGGCCGACGGACGAGTGTGGACGTCCTCGGCCCGGTTCCTGTGCGCGGCGGCGGACGTCCAGAAAGCCCTTGGAGATATTGTGCAGAAGGACAAAGTGGTTGTGTTCATGAAGGGGACTCCGGCCCAGCCTATGTGTGGCTTCAGTAACGCCGTGGTTCAGATCCTCCGGATGCACGGGGTGGACGACTACGCTTCGTACAACGTATTAGAGGACTCCGAGCTCCGAGAAGGTCAGCAAACTGAGATAACCTGTTAATGACATGACAGCAACAAGTTGTCACCTCTCAATCTAACTTGTTACTTTTACCTAAACTTCATAATATTTGTCAGTGGAAGTGTTACTCGACATTTGCTTGTAATTGTTTTGACCAGATCATTGTTATGTCAGTCTGTTGCAGCTGTCATTGTCATTTATAACTATTTACAAGGCCACCATACACTCCAGCCCTTCTTCAACGGCTCTCTATCACTAGATTTAGAGATTTCCAAGTGTTACGTTTTTATCAGTGCTCTGCAGCAGCACCAAAGGGTGGGGTCCTTTTTTAAAGTAGAACATGACACCACTACTGTGAAGATGTCTGTCCTTTACTGCTTACACAACCATAACTGGAACCTTTCTTTGAAACAATGACATCACACATGTCAACAAGGAACAAGGAAATGTTGTTTTCAGTTACAGCAGGACTGCCAGTTAATGGGATTTGGTCCTTTTCGGCTTGTGATGCAACAGCAGTTTGATGCTTAGTCATGATAGGGACAAGCTGACTGGTTCAATTCTGCCAGAATCAAGGGCTATAAACTGGGTCAGGAAGTGTTCATGCATTATTCCAAGGTGGTTAGTTGTATTCGCACCACATTTAAAGTCTAAATTAGCTACTTATGTTGTGTTCATTTATTCTTTGCAGCTCCAAATGTAACCTTAGTAAAAATGACATCACTTGACTGGAATGCAGCCTTTTCAAACCAACACAACAACAAAGACAACACTCATATAAGATATTATATGGCTATTAGCTATATATTATATTAAATGTATATATCCATATAACTATATCCAAAATCTAAGAAGATATCTTGTCGCGTATCACGATATAGCTATAATATGAATATAATGCACAGCCCTAATATTTGTCGTTATTAAAGTAGTACCATATTGTCCTTTATGACAGGTACAGGTAGATTGTTGGACTTTTTAATCGATGTACTATTAGCATTTGGTTCAAAAGTTATCTTTCCAACTTATTAACTGTTAACTTTACAAGCCCTAAAAACATTTTTTTAAGTTATCAACATTATCCTAATCATGTTTGCTTATATCAATAAAGCGTAATATATACTAATACAAAGGCCACCAAATAACACATATCTAGTGTAATGCTAAGTGGTATAGAACATGTTCATTTTATTTTTTAAGTATCTTTTCTTCGTGCTGTCATTGTTTTTTTAAAAGAAGGCAACTTTTTGGTGATCTCTTAAACACTGCACTGCATTGAGTTCCTGTCATGGTGGCTATCACTGCCTATGCTAACAGCTTAGCTCTTTTGTTTAAATCATACACACTGCTGTTGCTTAAAGCATTACTTCTTGTCAGCCGATACAGTATTGTCTGTAGTTTATTTCTGACCACATCACAATCTTACGTCCACAGGAGTCAAGGCCTTCTCCAACTGGCCCACGATCCCCCAGGTGTACTTCAGCGGAGAGTTTGTGGGGGGGTGCGACATCCTGCTGCAGATGCACCAGAACGGAGATATGGTGGAGGAGCTGAAGAAGTTGGGCATCAACTCCTCACTGCTGGAGGCCGAGAAGGAATCCAAGTAGAGGATGAACGTCAAACAGCTGACCAGACAGAGGACACATTGATCAGGTCTAATCCCCCATGATGACGACAGATAAACCATCTATAAAGCAGGCCTGGGCAAAGTTTACTCACCTTTCCAAGCAGTTGAGTGGCAGCACTGTCATGGGAATCTTTACTATGTTTTATATGTAAACAGAGCTCCTGCTAATACACTTCTGAATGTGCACAGATCATGTACCTGAGAGGTGAGGACTTTAAACTAGGAAGAATAAAAAGGGTTGACAGTGTCTCCACAGGATTTCAAATTCATTTCTCATCTTTCTAGAGGCTGATTATTTTTGGGTTATTTAGAAAAACACAACAATTACATAAAATGACTCTTTAACTTTATATTAAAAACTTGTTAGCTTTCTTTAGAGTCGTGTTTCTGGCCACAAAATGTCATATTCACTTTCTATTTAACTGGGTTTGAAAAATGTTTAGCTCTTTAGCTGCACCAAACACTTCACTGGTTAGTTTCTAACTGTGAATATCTGCCACTTGGTGCTGGGCAGCTAGCAGACACGATGTTGATCAGAGTTTGGGGGACAGAAAACCACAACAAAGATCTGGAAGACGTCGTCAAGCTTTATATGGTGATCATTCTATGTGTTTATGTCAATAGGAGCAACCTCTTTTGCATAACAAACAGTAATTAATCAAAGATAAATAATTGATTATCAGCTTTAATTTTCCCTTAACAAATGGTGGGAAACGTTGTCCTTTGCCATCTACTTCCTACTATGTGAATGCTTTTCAATCATCCTGATTCTCTAAATGCTAAATAGCAGAATAGAAACCCACAACAGCTAAGTTTGCCTAATTTAGAGGCTTTTTGTAATACATTCAGTAATGAAAGTCCAGATATGACCACACTGTTGGAGAGAAAATCATTTTGAAACCAGGTTGGACCTGCCTGAGGGAGACTTTCAGCTTCCCTCCCTGTGTTATTAATTAGTTTACACAAGAACTCTGGCAAACCTCCGTCATGTTGACCTGTAAAAGCTCTGCTAGCTAACTGTCTACCTTTTCCCCCCAAGCCCCAGTCTGTTTAAGACCAAATAAGCCTCATGGTACACTTGTTAACATCTATATAAGTCTGCTTGGGTCACACCACGAAAATCTGTCATCATACTATAAAGCTTCTAAATGCACTGCCTGTAACTTCCTTTATCTAGAAGGAAGAACAACCACGGAGCAATACTCATAATTATACATACGGGATACTTTCTGAACAATTACATCTCTTCAAAAATTGCCTTTTGTAGTGGAGGTCACTACAGTCATGGATCCCGTCTCACTGACCTCTTAACATGCACTGTCCATATGACTGAGGAATACAGTGGTGCAGGAATAAGTCCTAAAACCCAGAAATGAGTCAGCATTTTACCACTCTCAGTTCCCGCGTCTCGAAGTCAACGTTTTTGTTTGTGGTTTTTGGTTAGTTGCTTAATACAAGGTCTGTGGTTAACACAAGCTGAAGAGATTTTGTTCTGTGACATTACATATGTCAGTAAGAGCACATTTGTAAATGCTCGAAGCTTTTAATGCGTTGTGAAAACTGCGGTTGCTAACGGGGTTCGTTTTTAGCCTAGCATTAGCTCTATACTTTTCTCGATAGCATTTACGCTTAAAAAAATCATTAAGTGGTGTTAATATTTGGATATTATCCTGCTGAACAACATTTCGTAGTATCATAAATGTGTTTGCCAAAGATCTTATTTTCTACAATATTTCTAACACCATTACTTTTTGTCGAGAGAACCCCTTGCAATGCTAACTTTAGGACAACCCACAAAAAAGGTCATCACTGCACCACTATTGTCGCCTGTTTGTTCTTCCTGCCAGGAACACACACACACACACACACACACACACACACACACACACACACACACACACACACACACACACTTTAAGAGCACCCGCTGAAACGCAACAAACTGTGATACATTTTCTCTTTTTCCCCGAAGACAGCACACGGACTAACAGGAGCAGTTAAACATTTGTTGCGTCTGTCCAAGTCTGTGGTATTTGTTCATTTATCAATAAAGGAAAAAGAGAAGTTTTATTTTTTGGAGGTGTATTTGTTGAGTCTAACCCCTTGTGTTTATCAATCCTAGATGTTCCTTCTGCTGCACACAGCTGTATTATCAAAGCAATGGTCATGTAATACACTGTAAGATATTGTACATTGAAAGCATATTATTAAATGCATTTGAGCTGCATGTGAACCCTTCACCTATTAAATATTTTGTGACAAATAAAAAGCCAATCCAGAGTTGTTTTTGTTTTTCTAACCAACTTTCAGAGAGGGCCTAATTTCAGTTTTGAGTTTTCAGGCTAATATACAGATTCTGTTTAGCAGTATCTGTCCAATGTTAGAAAATGTAACCGGGGAAATACCCATAGTTTCTCAATCTAGCAAAACAAATATTATTTTTTTCCATCGTTTGACTGACACATTGACTAATTGTTTCACCTCTAAATATGACTACTCTCAATCATAAGCACAATTTATTTTCTAAAGTGTGTAACCTATATCAGTTATTATAAAATGAATCTACATTGCCTGGCTAAATTCTTAATTTGTTTTATCAAAAAATATTAAGTATGGAATTCCGTCCTGCTTTTTGTATATATACGCAGCTACACAATTAAGAGTAGTACTAACAAAAAATGAAATGAGTAAACTGAAAGGTCTTTTCTAAAATAAGAATATTGACCTTTCCCAACTATTGTAAACTTGCTGTACATGACCTAGATTACATTTGTTTGTAATATCATGCCAAAGTATAAATATCAATCATTAACCCTCCTCAAGACAGTTTGACCTGTGGAGGAATGATTGGTAGATGTGTCAGAAGGTGAGCCATCATCCATGTTTTATTCAATTGTGTGCTTTTTCCTGCTATTAGAAATGTAAAAAAGGGCCAATTATGCCTTTTCAAAAGATCTGCACTGGGTCAAGCAGATCTCAGAACATCCCATTCAGATACAGCAGGGACATGTTGCTCTCTCTTCAAAGCACTGAACATGTTCCTACTTACGGTCTGAAAACCTGCAGCTGATCACAAACACTGACGGGATCAGGGTTTAACCTATTTAAGGATTTAAATACATTTTCGATAACATTTAAATATATGTTTACACTTTCTTATTTTTTAAAACCAAGTTGGATAACGTGAGATGCAAAGGACATTTGATATGTTTTCTTTTGTGTTTCTCTATATTACAGTTTCCTGAATAAGGACACTGCAATGATATAAAACTCAGAGATGATCTAACAAAAACATTTTTTTAATACAAAATACTATTTTACAAAATATGGCTCGACAGTTACTTAGGTGGGACAGTCCAGTTCACAGCTCTTCGTCCTCCTCCACCATCATCATCTCTTTTTACCTTTGTAGTCCAATAAAGCAGAAGAACTGTTAGAAAAACTAACAATACTGAGGCGTGATGAGGTCAGAGTTTCTGCAGGAAGCGCAGCACCAGATCTCTCAGGGTGGTGCGCAGCGGCTCGTTGTTGTCACAGACGATGTGAGTCCCGTCCTCCTCCAGCTGGATCAGAGTGTCCTCCGCCTGCAGGTGCAGAATGTGTCCGTCCGCCGTCTCCTCCACCTTCACTTCTGTGAAGCCGTGCTGCAGGGCGACAGATAAATGCATAAGCACGTTTTAAGTGGGTTCATTCAGCAATGATATGAAAATGTCACACAAAAAAGGCCTGAGTGAATGTTATACTGGTGTCATGCAAAATATGTGTTGTTTTCTGCAGAAATGTTACATAAAGTGTGTAATGCTTGTGGATTTATAGTTTTTATAGCTAATTAAATTGAACGGACTGTGCCATGATGAAAAGCAGCAGGTCTTTTTTGCAAACTTTACAGAAGGCTTCTGAAGGATGTGGGCCTGTGCATTCCTGCATCTGTGATAACATCGTTGACCCTTTCTATAAAAACTACTAATCCTAAGAGTTTCAAATGAGGTAAAGGAAGTAAAAATAATTTAACTGCTGGCTGCTAAACAATCAATTAGGGCAACATGACTTTTAAAAATATGATTTTGTATGATGTTGCATTTGCGATATGATTAACGATATTAAAATTGTGTGCATCACGTTTTAGTGTCCCAGTTTCCGATGTGTTTTGTATTTGCAGCGCTTTTATTAAACATTGGTATGTTTTGTCAAGTTGATGAATGATTTCTAAAATGCTGCGCTTGTGTTGAGAAGTTGGTGAAGATGCATCTTCATGTGCATGTGTTTTGGAAAATCTGTTTTTTGCAGCTCTTTTCTCCTAATGGAAAAGTTGTAGGCCACTGTAGCGCTTTTGCATCTGTTGACCCCCGTAGATATGTACCAAACAAAGACATATTTATTAAGTCTGTAGAATATGAATTGTAGGCCAGGACACATATTCTGTAACAAATACTATCTCATATTGAGATATGTTTACATTTAGATGAATTGTGCAGCCCTACAAACAACACTGAGGCGCCCATGAATGTCTGCAGATTTCTCACCTTTTGCAGCGTGGCGAGGAAGGCCTCCAGGGGCACAGCTCCACTCAGCAGGGTTTTGGGGGCCAGCACGGCCGGAGGCTCCTCCAGCACCCGCTTCCTCTTCTTGCTGGGGGCCACTGGAGGGGGTTTGGGCACCGACTGGCAGCACAAGAGAGGGAAAAACATCAGCAAATATTTTTATATTTACACACTAGTATGTGTATTATGTGGCACAGATTCACAGGACCCACCTGCAGTGTGTGCTTGTTATCTTTGGAGTGCAGCACTGCAGACACCGTTGCTAGGGAGATGCCAGGTTTGATCTCGGAGGGCACCAAGGAGTTGGCCAGCTACGAGAGGAAGAATCAGACATTTAGGACACCTGTGCTCTGATAGGATTCTATACACCATATGTCATCGCCTCCTGCCAACACATGAGACAATTTCAAATATGCTCTTCCATCTGTGTCCAAAGGTTTTATCTTTTATTCAACAACCAGGCTGAGGAAGAATAGAACTTGAGTGACAGCTGTGATGCGACTCACCTCCGGCAGGATGTAGACGCGCTCGTAGCGGCGTCTGTGGGGCAGGTTGAGCACAGAGCAGCGCCTGTAGGGCATGGGGGGGGGCTGCAGCTCCAGCATGAGATCAGAGCGGTGGGACTGGGTCAGGGGGGGCTGGGTGTACTGCTCCGGACACACCACATGGAGGGGCTGCAGCACACAGGGAAACATCCTTTAACTGAAGCAACTTTCAAACGTTACTTAAAATCATCAATAGTGATTGAGCTGATTGAAATATTCTACAATTAAAATATATGAATTGTAACATTTATATATGTGCAGTGTTACTCACTGAGCTTTTCTTACTGCTGCAGATCCACATTAAAAGCATTTAACTGGCTGACAAACTTTAGATTACTTTTATTATGAAAGATTTACAGGAAATGCAAAATGTCTGCCAATGAGCTTGACAATGTGACACGTATGGAAAAAATGGCACAAAGGAGTTCAAAATATTCCCTATATCAAGTGTTTAACTACAATTAAAAGGACATACTATCTGCCGCAGTTGCAGTTATTTTCTAAGATCTTTGAATAACTTACAAAATAAAAGTGATCTTTTAATAGCAACTCTTTATGACTTAAGTCCCAAAAATCCACTACATTCGGTTGATAAAGTGAGGAGTTTTAGACAAAATGACATCATTCAAGATTTACAGGGTCACCTGAAACACTTAATGTTGTCGTTTGTGCTTTGCCTATTGGCTTGTAAAACTTTTTTTTATTTCCTGTTTCAGCCACAGGACTGGTGCTGACACTACTTGATTATTTGTGTTATTGCATAACTGTCCTTTCAATAGTTTTGCATGCAAGTACACAAAATATAAGAAAAAAATGAACATGAGGCAGTCAATTCTGAGCTGGACAAACTTGAAATGTTCTGCCTTAAAGTATAAGACTCCCTCTAATACTCCCTGTTCAGGTAGGTGCAATCCATTGTACTTCTTTTCCTTAGAATTCCTGAAGTGGAAAGTGCTAACAGTACGTTATCTATATTAATCAAAGGGGTTGGTAACATGACAAACCTGACCTGGACTTCCTTGAGCAGCTTTGACACCTGGTGGAAGTTGAGCCGTGTGTCGATGGGACAGTAAACACACTTCATGGCCAGCGGCTGGTAGGGAGCCAGAGCGTCCAGGTAGGAGAAGTCTGGCTCTGGTGGTGTGAAAGAAGAGTCAGAGAGGCATGTAGCAGCAGAGCATAGAGTGAGTATTGAGAGGCTGGCGGTGCTTGTAATAGAATGATATTTACCAGTGAAGATGATGGTGTTGATGCTGGATTTGCCCCACAGCTCCATGAAGTGAACCACGTCCCCGAAGCGCAGAGAGGGGTGACCCGTGAACACAACGCAGGGCTGCCGGAACTCACTGCTGAAGTCTCCGTGGATACTGGGGTAGTGCTTCAGCTTGTTGGTTTGGATCAACTGGAAGGGGGTGCAAGACAGAAGTCAACGTTATAGTTTCCTGTATATTCACATAACCGTTAAGACATTAGCATTGTTACGTGGATTACACAGAAGTTTTAGTAACACAGTTTAGCCACTAAGGACACGCCTGGTGCACTTCTTAGAGGCTTGATTTAATGAAGTACAACGCTAAAAGCTGAGTGCACACAAGACTCCTTTGTATAGTTGGGAAGAATCCACACTAAAAGATTCAGGACCGTTAAAATCGAGTCTTTAACCCCGCCTCCCAGTCTTAATTCCCGTTTCCAATTGTTAAGCCTCGCCTCCGACTGGGTTTGACGTCTGGTCTTGGCTCAATCAAATGAATGGAGGCTTAAATGCTGGATTCAGCATTTAGCCCATTTGATGTACTAAAAGTGGTCAAATGCGCTTAAGCCGAATCCAGCTAACGGCGATTCTAGAATTCATCCTGGGAAGTTTATGTACTAGTTATTCGCTGATTTACAGGCGTCTCTTTCCCAATGTAAGTCAATAGGAAAGTATTTTTTGGACCGAATGACGTTACGTGACTTGCAAAGAAGTTTTAGAACTACCGTTCAGTCACTGGGAAAAACTTGCTTCAACAAATGGGTCACTTCCTGGGGGCTTAATCTCCGCTCAGTCCCACACAATTAGAATGGAGAATACCTCGCTTTATTGCCATCTCTTTAAATGTAACAATCTCCCATTCTTACTTATTGATCACTTATTGTAAGACGCATTGGATAAAAGCGTCAGCTAAAAAACACCATAAAAATGTCATGTAAAATAAAGATTTAATAACTAAAAGTGGCAAAACATTTATTTATTTTTGACTAATTCAATGTTAAATACTGTCAGCATGCAAAGGCTGATAACAATTAAAATGTATATTAACATATACTTCCTAAATGTACTTTTGTACACAGGTGTTGCAAAGGATTTGAACATTTCAAGCTGGATGGTGAATATTTAGGGTAGTACTGATGTTGAAAAGAGCATTTAGCATCTCTTTGAAAGCATGCATTTATAGTGAACATACAATACATTGAACACTGCGAGATACTGATGTCATATAACTGATTATGATATGAGAAATCATCTCCAAGTTATTCTCTTGCAGGGTAAGTTTGGTGCTCATTTGTCAGTATACAAAACATATATAAATCAGGATTTCTAACTATCCACTATCTCTGAAATGAAGTGTCCCCCCCTCTAGAAGACACAGCAGGACTCACCTCTGCGTGGGGGAATGGGGGCTCTGGAAGATACACCTTTGATTGCTTGTTGTGGCACAACCTAAGAAAAGAAGGAGGAAATGGTCAATCTAATCAGAATGTCCCAGAAGAATCTTGGAAAACAAGCAAAAGCTGGCTGGAACAAGTATGATTGTAGGTATCCACAACAGTGTTAGCCAATCAGCACTGCTGTAAATATGCATGGTTTGAAATGTGTTTTTGAATATATTAACATGCTTTTGAACTAACGTTAAAATCAAGAGATAATAAACTATTTACATACATGACAATACTTTTGTCGGAGGCAATGCACCAATTTAACAGAAAAGTATCATCAGTAGTGGCTGTGCTGCAGCAGCCTACAGCTTTTTACTGACTGACTCTTATATTGGCTGTTGCATCTCCATTATTATGATTGTGGAAAAAAAATAAATCACAGGTAGAACCAAGAAAGGCACTCATAAAACTAAGACCTCTGTCAAGACCATGCCCAAGTAGTAATGTTCTTTAAGCTGATTAAAAATGAGTGCTGCATAATTTTAAAAACATTTCAATGAGTTCTTCCTTTGCCCGTTTTACACCGCCACCAAGTTTCATTCAAATTAGGCAAGCACTTTTGTTTTATCCTGCTGACAAACCGAAATGAAAATGTGTTTGTTTATCTAGGTACTGTTCAACAACAGATTTCTAAATTGGGGATATGTTAACAAACAGCATCTCACCATTCAGCGAAGATCTGAGAGAACTCCAGCGAGCTGTTGGCGACGGGGGAGATGAAGTAGAAGGGCGTGGTCCCCAGGTTGGCGCTGTCGATGAACTGGTACAGACACTCCAGCAGGTCGTAGATCACCCCCGAGGAGTAGCAGGGCACCAGCACGTTGCCTCCTGCTCGAATCGTCATGGCTACAGGCACGGATAAATAATAAATACTACATTACTAAATGAAAACACTCAAAATCAACAAAGAAAGAGTATTTTAATGTCATACGCTCTATAAACATGTACTTTTTCATATCACAACACTTTAATAAAAGTACATAAGGACTAACCAAGGTTGCTGCAGAATTCTCCCAGCATGCCGTCTGGGTTGGCGGTGGGCATCTGGGTGAGGCCGGTCAGAATCAGAACATCACTGTTCTTTAGGGAGCTCTGGTCCATTGGCTAGGAGGAGAAAAAGAGATACATTTACACCAGATCTGTAAAGCTGTTGCAGTTTCTTTTTAAAGATGATTTATTTGCACCAGTTTAGGAGCATTACGAAAGAGATAGATTTGAAAGGGGAAGATAGAAGGGATGACATGTGCAAGGAGAGTAAGTAAGTCTCAGTACATGGCCTTCTGCATACTCTGGTACCAGACACGATTGGTTTACAAAGAGGTTCATTTTTGGATTGTTTCTCAAACATTTGCTCAAATAAGTTAGATAGAGCTCAGAGGGGATATAACTGACGTTTGAAAGTTTACATAATAGGGTTTGATTATCTTTTTAGTTTACAGATCGTTTGGAAAGACAGTTCATCCCTGAATGAATATTTGTATTCTCACCTGTTGTGCTTTTTATCTAGATTGTTTTTGTGTGAGATACAGAGTGTTAGAGATATCTGCTTTTTCTCGAACATTGTGAAGCTAAAAGTGGAAAAATTATAAATTATAAAAACTATACAGAAATGTCTCTTTCCAGAAATCATAATTGGTTACTTATGTCAATCCATAGACCTTGTTCTCACCAGAAAATATATATGGCCCATTTTCTTCCTACCATATTAAACCAGCCAACTGCATCACACCACTAAAGGAAGCGCACATCTATTCAGAGGATTGCATTTATTATCATCTCGCACTGTCACAAGCAGGCTTGCAAAAACTTAATATTTCATTATTTGGGGGTGAACTGTCCCTTTGCAAATCTGCCATGTTAATTTAAATGTACTTCACATATATACACCTAGAATTAATTAATATTAAGTGAAACTGCAAGACGAGGACAGAACACATTTCCTTACGGGGACAATAACATGCATTCTATTGTATGTAAAGGTCTGTATCACATTTTGGGTGCTTGCAGGTCTTTTCTTTTTATGCCCATAATGTGTGATTTCCTCTAGCGTTATAAATACCTGAGGATGTGTGGTGAGTAGGGAAGAACCCGACACATAGGAAACCTTCTCATGATGAGACTGGATGATCCAGTTAGAGCTGCCCAAAGAGTAACCGGAGCTTAAAGGGGAGACCTGTACCGCTCCAAACAACTCCTGGAGACAGAGAGAAGTTGTCAATAGGAGACAACAAAAATATATAAAAACTGAAAACGACAGGTACAGGTATTTTAATAGTATGTTAAAGCATAATAATCCTGCAACACAGTGTGTACAGGATCGTGCATGAGAAAAACACTAATGTGCAAATGAAATGAAAACCATGCTCTTTTCCCTTTGAGTATTAACTAGATAAGAAGAATATATACTAATTGTTACATGCACATTTCAACGGAGGCTCTCCAAACTATACTAACTTTTTATTGCAAATACACAACATATTTTGAAAATGGTGCATGGAAATGGGCCATACACATGCACAATTGTTACATCTTGATTGTAACTGCAAAATAACATTTAACAGAAATAGAAGTTAATAGCTGTAAGGACAATTATTTAATACATAATTCACGTTCTTCAAACAAAGATATGACCACATGGTCTGTATTAGTATGGTTTAGTTAGAAGAAGAATTTGAGTTCTTACCACTTTCTGAGAATATCCCACAAGCTGCACTTTGCTGAGGGCGGAGTTGACCTCCTGAATGCTGTAGCTTCGTTTCCATGCCCACACATCTACTACATCCTTCAGGGGCCCAGGGAGCATCCTGATATAATAAACGTATATGAGAATCATAGTGTATTGTGGTAAATGCATTTGCTGGAATGTAACTGTAAACCAAAGCAAAACAAGATAAACAGAGGCAAAGACAAAAAAGCTAATATTAGATTTTCTTTTACGTATATGGTTTCCAATGTGACATTTTATCATTTGAAATAAATACTTTCCACATCTACATATAGATAGCCCTTCTATATGTACCCACGGATAATCTTTTTAAAGTATTTTGTATGATCTTTAGGTTTTGTTTTTTCATATAAAAGTGTTCCTACCTCTGCATTTCCTTATTTTTCCAGCACGTGGCAGACTGGGCTTTGGGAACTCTCTCCATGAAGTTCACCAGCTCCTCCATAAACAGTCTGAGGAAAATAACAGTCAGCATTATGAAAACATCCGAAAACCCCAGCCACTGTCCTTGGTTAACAACAGAACATAAGCCATGACATCATACATTATCCTTCAAACTAAGAAACACTAAATGAAATGTTAGACTTCTTTAGACCTGCGGCTTCAAAAATATTATGAAAATGAAAAGCATTATGCAAATAAAAAACACATTTTTCATTAAATTAACAAAAAAACAATATGACGAAGTTCAAATGTATTTTGTCTCTTTACCTGCCAATGGTCAGGGTGGGTTCTGTGGCGTAGACTGTCCCAGTGAAGCCGGTGTGTTCAGTGATGTAGGGCAGGGCCATCATACAGTGGTAGTTAGAGATCAGGATGACATCAATGGTGGACAGATCCAGCAGTTCTCTCTGGGGCAAACACAAACGGGAGAAAAGGTTTATTTAGACCAAATGTGTTATTATTCTAGGTAGGGCATTTATTGTAACTTACATTCAAATACTAGAATGTGGAAGGAAAAGTGAAGAAAAGTGAAAGGAAAATGTGAGTTGGTACAATGATATAGAAGATCATAAACAAAACTAAAATAGGCAGGCTATCCTCTTGGTTCCCTTTTCTATGCTAGCATCATTATCATTTCCTTCCTCCAAATCATTTATTTGAAGCATTAAATTGATTACTACAGTAATACAGACTTGCATAAATATATTGTATGTGTGGCAGCAGAGTGTACTACCTCAGGGAGACAGAACTCTGGCTGTGAGTCCACAAACACTCTTCCTGCACACTCCTTCAGCTCCTACAAATTGAGAAAAAACAATGTGTTTACTTTTTTGACAAACAAATCTTAAAAAAGGAAATAATAGTAGGCTAACCAAAAAACAAACAAGTTCAGAAACAGCTTAAATTCAAATGGTGAACTAAATACAATTTAAGCAACTTTTCCTACCTTCTCAAGGTTTGCTGATCCATCCTTAGAGACCCAACCAGGAAGCTTGGAGAGTCTGGGGCTGAGAACAAATAATTAATTCATCTAATCACAACAAGTCATCCAGTATTACATTAATCAATCAATAAATGAAAGCATTACTGCTGTGCTCACCTGTGCACGAGAGGAAGGGGCAGGAAGTTGAGGACAGAGGTGGTGTCCAGCCCACAGTCCAGCATGATAGTGGTGGATTTGAACTTGAGGACATTGCAAGGCAGTGTAGGATGACCAGAGAGACAATACTGAGAGAAGGGAAAGCAATTACATTACGATACATGCATAATTCAGATCACATTTAGTACAGGCAGAGAATCTGTATGTCTCTCACACAAACAACTCCAAAATTAGTCTCATTGTAAGAACACAATGCTCCTTTCATTAACAGTATATTAGTACAACTAGGTACTGTATACATTCACTTGTATAGCTGAGGCTGGGTAGTTAAGGTTAGCCTCACAGGATGATGGGAACCATGGATGTATGAGGACAGGACCAAACAGGGCTATTAGCTGCTAAGCTAACAGAGTAACTATAACTTAAGGTATGGTAAACGATTTAGTAGCGCAGCGGTATCATCAGCTTGGCATGACTTTACTGTGTTAATACGGCTCACAGTCTGTTAACTCACCAATTTCATGTTTAACGCAGATTTATGAACATTTGTTATCTTTACTCGGCTATGCTAACACTGCATCCTCCTGCAGTGTTTTCAGGACTCCGCTCGTTTTGTTTCTCTGACGCTCGCCCTCTGCTGCCCTCTACAGGTGCGGAGTGCTACCAAGCTAATTATTACACAAAACAGCACCTTGTTGATGTTTGAAACTGCCAAGAAAAGCCACTATGCTTCACAAAATGTTAAAAACATGTCAACCAAAGCGTCGATAACTGCTGTCAACAAATGCACGTGCGCATAGTGCTGTCAGTCACGTTCGCAGGCTCAAGCCAGAGCCATACAACACTCAGTTTAAGAAAAACTGTGAAGGGTGTAGTGAAGCCATTATGATAATATGTCAGCCCGATACATGGGATACATGACGTTGTATTGTGTTGACTTTAGAGGCTGTTGTTCGGCACCCAGAGGTGGGGCGGCTGCTAAATAAACACTCCATTCACTACTCTGGTTTAGCCCCCTCCCATGCTAGTAGCTGCTAGCTAACCACCGAAACTAACGGCCGACTAAGGACTCCCGAGTGACTCCTATCGGTATCTAGAAATTAAATTGGTCACGTAACAATGTTGCGAAACTAATGTAGTAACACTTGGCACCCAGCTTTTTCTGTTTTTCCGGTAGGTCTCTCTTTTTTGTTAAATAGTTATACTGGTGTTTTTGTGGCTAGCAGCTTATCAGAAGATACCGAGGTTATCTCTGTTTAGACGCTATACTGAGGTCGATTTTCTCATGGAGGACTTGTACAGTTATTAGCCAAGAGGATATACGAGTGGGCAAGGACAGGTAGGGGTTGAAACGCCACATTGTTACTGTCAAATACATTTGTATATAGCTAGTTGAAAACAGCTGTAAGGTTACGCATGGCTATTACATCAACATGTACACTTCGGCATGCAATGACAACAGGTGGATCAACTCAGGTGGTAGAAGTAATCTGATATTGTACTTAAGTAAAAGTAGAAATACCAGAGTGTATGAATACTAAAAGTAAAAGTCCTACCCACAAAATGTCACTCAAGCAAAAGTACCAAAGTATTGGCATCAAAATATACTCAAAGTACTCGTTATGCTGATTGGCCCATTTCAGAATAGTATATATTATATGTTTTGATTATAATTATTGATCATTAAAGTGTTATCAAAGCTGGTAAAGGTGCAGCTAGTATACTTTGTAAACTGCAGGGTAGCTTGTGAATTTACTCCATGTGTAACCAAAGTCTGATTTAAGAGTTGTTTTGATGTCACATTATTAATCCATCGTTAAAACATCACTAGTAATGTGCAGAGATGGTGAGCATTTTGATACTGTTTAATAAGTGTATACAATTGAAACTATCCATAACTCTTTGTTATTTAAAATGCACTGCCTGAAACCAGAATCATCCGTGAGTGTTTTCTTTTTTTTGCCAAGTCATGTTAGGTCAAATTCATCAGGTAATCGTCACTGTCACATAGGTCATTACTTCCTGTCGAGTGTGACAGGGTTTTTCTATAAAACAAGTGTATCTGCCTTTATCAGACCACAGGAAGTACACACTCGGTTTGTTTGCCATGGGGAACACCTGCAGTAATCATCTTGGGATTCCTCAAGGCAAGGGCCCTAATTCTGTGGGGTGCACTGACTTCATGATGGACCACACCGCTCAGGTAAAAGCAGATAAAGACACCATCTTTATGGCTAAATATGTTACTATTTATTTAGATATAACATGTGAAATTATTCAACTGTACAATAGTCATATCACTTAGGAACGTTACTCTAATACACTACATCTAGAGCAAAAATGTAACATTAATATCTATATGTATTGTAATATACCCATTTGTACATCTTTATTGTTGTTATATATTGTAGTACAAATTGCACATTTTTAGTTCTGATGTTTATATAAATCATTTTTATTTTTATTATTTTTTCGAAATAATGGAGCAACCTTTATGAAACACATTTTCCCCCTGGGATAAGTACAATTATTCTGATTCTGATCCAGATGGAGAAATATCATATTTTCTTCCCAAAAAGGAAAAAGGGATGCATTGGAAATAAATAAAAACAATTATGTTTAGCAATTTTAAATAAATATGATTAATCTAGAATACCACTGAATTACAGCATTGTTTAAAGCCACAGTACATTTATTGGATATGGACAGCACACCTAGATATATGTTCTACTGTTCGATCACAGCTAATGTAGCTGCTATTAACCTGTTTAGTTTAGTCAGGATTAAGAAGGTGTAAAGCATTCCATTATGACCTGCATTAGTCACACTCAGCAGTTCAACAAAGAGTTTCAAAGTTCAACATGAGTACGATACAGTACCTGTACCAAAAATATATTATGAAATATGTTTGTGACCCAGACAAACAGTAAATCATATGATCATAAACAGTATTTGTTTGCTTTATTCTGCATGCACATTGAAAGAGTGAGGCCTAGGCTCCACGGGAACGAAAACGGGTTGAATCCGCATATTTCTCATGCATATAGCCCTTTAAGCTCGACGACGCCGTAACGGAAACGTAGAAACAGACCCTGCAAACGACAACGGGTCCAAAGGTGGATAGATCTGGGAACGGAGCGCTCTGGGGGGTCCAACGGGGCCGTGTGGTCGCCTATACGGTCATCCGTTTCTGATAATGACGACGCAATAGCCCCGCCTCTCCCCGCCTCTGCTGCTCACCCCCGCAAAAGTACACTGCACACTGAATTCAGATTATTTATCTTTATCTCGATATGGACATAAACGCGAGTGAAGTCTAATCTGACAGGACGGAGACACGCAGCTCCTCCCGCTGTGATGCAGCGGGAGCAAAACACACACTTCAAGTCAGATCACCACCCTTAGCTATTTTAATTACCTCTCAAACTACCTAAACTAGTTATAAATATGTTTATTTTTACTGTCGGGTTTACTTACTGGATCAGCTGCTGCATGAGGAAGCATGAAGATTTAAACTTTAACACACGTTGACCGGCGAAAAACTCTGCGCGGTTCCCTCGGCCCCCACCGCGGAGAATAAACAGAAGTGCAGCCATGACAACCATTCTTCTTCGCTGCTTTTGTGGAGGAAGTTGCTGCTTTTTGTGGAGGAAGTTACAGCGCCACGTACAGGTTCGGCATATGTACTGCAGCTTTTCCAGCGGTTGGATGTAAACGGAGCCGTCTCGTGGAGCTTGACACAATCCGGTGTATATTGCGTGTGGGCGGAAGGTTTTTTGCGGTTGCGTTTGCGTTACTCCGATGCGTTTTGCCGTATGCGTTCCCGTGGAGCCGGGGCCTAAGTATCAGCCAATAACACTGTTTCTTTATCTGTTTTCCGCTTATAGGGGAGCTTCTTCCGGCTTTACTATCCTTGTCAAGAGACTGAAAAACCTGACAGACCAGATTGGGTTCCGTGTGTGGAATATTTTAATGGTCTGGCAGATTTTATGAAGATAAACAGGAGTCTCAGTGAAAGGATTTTCAACTACCTCTTTGGTGATTATACTCTTTTTTAAACAAGTTTATGCTGCCTTAACTCGTCTTTCCTGGACCAGACTAGGACTCTTCACATGTTTTTGTTTATGTATTTACACAAGTAACATACTTTACCCCTAAACCCTAAAGTGTTTCAAGGTGTTTTAGACTTTAGAATGTTTTTCCAAGCAGACATCTTATAATTTCTATGTATATCTTCTATTCTAATTCCGCTAAAGAACTTGCTTGCATGAAGTCATTTGTATTTTTATCAAAGTGATTTTTCGCATTTTAAGTTTTCATATTTTCTTTGAATTTGAATTCAACTAAAATTATAAATTAACCAACTGTGGTGAGTTTCAATTCTGCAAGTTCATTTTCTCACTGGGAACCAGCAGTTTTTTAAAAGGAGTGGAAGTTTACAAAACCATAGTATGCTTTTGGAAATGGTTATCAGTTATAAAGCGTCTCCATACCCTTTAGCAAACTAGATCAAATTGATCAAAACAGTGGTGTTGTGCTTTAAGAACTCATGTTTTGTCGTTTGTGTTCAGGGTCCTTCAAGATTCCAGCCTCCTTGGACGCTCCCTTTAAATCCAATGAAAAATGTCCAGTAGTTATCTTCTCCCACGGCCTTGGAGCTTTTAGGTATAAACATAAACTCCTTCAGTATTAACTCAATGTTGATTATGTTCACTTATCAGCTGCTACGAATGGTGTGATTAATATCTCTCTTGTTTACGCTTTCTAGGACTTTGTATTCAGCTATATGTGCAGAATTGGCCTCTCAGGGCTTCATCGTGGCGTCTGTGGAACACAGGTATTTTTCAAAGTTTTTTTTTAATTTAAATACCCGTAACAAACAACAATATGACGACATCTAGATATGACCTCAAAAAAATCGGAAAAAACTCAAATGACACAAAAACAAAACAACTAAGTACTAGACTAATTAAAATACATTAAGAAACTAAACTATAAATATGACAACTTGTGCTAGTAAGTGTTTTATATAGTCACACTCCCCCGTAAAGCACTTTTCTCCCCATTTCCTGTTCTGTTATGCTACTTCAAATTATATGTAGCGATAATCCTTTCAAAAAGAAAAATGAATTTCTTTAAGTATTCATCTTGAGTATCAATATATATTGTGTAACTGACCATACCATTACAATTAATGATATGAAAGGAAATCAGCCATGCCATCTAGTATATTTATTTAAAAAAACAAGCCTAGTTTTTAAAAAGTATTACCTATTAAAAGTCTCTTAACCATTCTCAGTTAATCCTTTTTTTACTTGATTGTGGATATGATTCTTTTTCAATAAATACACATAGCGCTTCTTGTTCAAACATCCCTTATGTTTTAGCTATAGATCTTTCTTGTCTCTTGTCAAACTGACATGTTTACTGAACATTAGAACATGTGGCAACCTGTTGGAGGAAGTTTTAACCCTGCTAGCGTTGGTCTGTTGATGTGAGCAGTAGGAGGGGACAGGCTGTGCAACAATAGTACGAACCAGCTCATCACATTTCTTTTCAGTATAGAGACAAGGGGACGTATGGAGATGAACATAATGGCCACAGTTAGTCACTCTTGTGGGTTGAAGTGGTATTTAAATCCACAGAAAAAGACATGTGCCAGTGTTGTGACATCAGACAGACTTTGTTTCATGTGCCGGCTTTCATGCTCAGAGGTCAGTCAGCCGACCAGCCACCGCTGCTTAGGTCACGTTAGTATGCTGAGTCTGTTACCACAAACAAACCAGAACAGTCATAAAGAACGTTGGTTCTCTTCCAGCCTCATGATTAATTCAGTGTCGGGAGTATAAACAGGTTGAAAAAAAGAGAAGTTCAGGCTTTACATGCATGAGTCTGTAATAGATTGATAACTAGTAAAAGATTTTGAATACGAAGATTACATATCAGATGTATTAATCAGATTATGTGTCTGTTTCTTATTTACTTGAAACAGTATGCATTAACCTGTTAAGCCCCAAAGCCCCCGTCGGCGGGTCTTTTTTTTTTCCACAAATATAATTTTGTTATTTTTTATTAATTCTTTTAATTTTAATTTTTTTTCTTTGGATGAAATGAATACCTATGGTGATAATTCAATGTAATACATCATTTTTATAGTCTGGTACCTGAAAAAGGTCAAATGGCACTGATGGAACCAGATGTACCCAAATGTGCCGAAAGCTTATTCCGCCTGGAACTTTCTTTTGCTAAACCTCTCTAAAAAGGTCAAATTTAACTTGTTTTGCCTCAATCTTGATACAGGGTACTTATTATATGTTATATTTTGGATTCCTAAAGCTTTTAGTCTACCATCCCATCATTCAAGGGTGGTTTTCACTATAAGTAATGTTTTTTCTTTAGGCGGAGGTAAGAATTTACCTTTTTTTACTATGTTCCATCTGAATTTACTCTGACTGAGAAAAATCTATATTGATTCTGACACTTCTACATCCAACTCACAGATGTAACCTTGCTTTGATAAAAGAAATTATTCATATAACCCTTTTAGAAGTGAAGTTGTAGTCATTTGTTTTGGGCATGTCATTTTCGAGCCTGAAACCTGAAAAACAGGCTCGGGGCTTAACAGGTTAAAGGGGCCATATTATACTCATTTTCAGGTTCCTATTTGTATTTTTCGCCTCTACTGTGACATGTCTCCATGCTTTTATGTTCAAAAAGCTCTTTATTTTTCTCATACTGCCTGTGCTGCAGCACCTCTTTTCACCCTCTGTCTGAAACCAAAGCACAGTCTGCTCTGATTTTTTAGTAATCAACTGCTTAGAGATGTGTAGGAAATGTCCCACCCCTTAGCCTATCACGTACAATGTGTTAGCCAATAGAAGCACGAGTGTTACATACACTAGGCATGTCTCTATGTTATGGAAGTCAACAAAGGAGTCTAATGGAAGCGTTTCAGGCAGGGGGGGAGGGGAGTGAGTGTGAGAGAAACTCCCTCTGGAGGGAACTTTGGGATTTTAGCCTTTGAAGACCATTTACATGCACAACAAACAAATAAAAACCTTCCAGGAAAGGGAAAACCCCCATAAGCATAACAGTTAAATGTTACCCATTCACCTACTCCATATTTTCTCTTTGCCTACAATTGTTGTAATGAGTCATTGTAAATATGACACAAAAGAAAGCAATCACATTTCAGAGGCTGCAACCAGAATATAAACAATGTCATAAGTCAATAAAACATTTTATTATACTTTTTTTGTACTCACTTTGACTCGGCGTATCAGGACATAACATTCTTTTTACTTTTTTTTCGTACTCATTTGAGTTTAATTTTGCAGCATTGTGCATTTCTGTATCACACAGAGACGAGTCGGCCTCGGCTACGTATTATTTACGTGAGAAGACAGAGTCGGAGAAGGCGGACAAGACCGTGTCCATCACCTCCACCTCGGCCCAGGACACCCTGATAGAAGAGTGGATGTACTACAGGAATCTGCAGCACGGAGAGAGCGAGTTCACCCTCCGGAATAAACAGGTAACAAATCATACTGTAGTGTGGGAGAGGGGGTCAAAGTGCTAAATGTTGCTCAAAATAATGACAGCAAACATGTATCATCATGAGTCAACACTCTTTGTTAGGAAGGTAGAAAATACTTTATTCCTCTTTTATATTAAGTGGGTTGGTATAGTGCATGACACGGAGACAACTCTAACCACAGCCTTATTTCTTTAATCTGATCTTTTGTCGGACATTTGAACTTCAATCTTGGCATCTATGCTATCTTTATTGTTTGTAAATGCTACATTTTATTTAGAATAGTGCAGTGATGACACATTTTCATAGCTCCATCCTGAAAGTTAGCATTACAAGGGCTCCCTCGACAAAAAGCCAATGGGATTATCCATCCAGTTTTGGAATATAACAGAAATTAAGATCTGTGGCAAACAGAACGCGTTTGTAGTTAGAAGGCCGATATAAGGTCTGTGGTTAACACAAGCTGAAGAGATCTGCACGTTTTGTTCTCCAACATAAAATACTCCACTCATGAATGAGTCATATAAATAGCGGTTGCTAACAAGTGGCTAAAAAACATCACACCGCCACAAGTCCACCTTTAGTTTAGCGGTGGTGATGCGCGGCCATGTGACCGTGATGTAGTTCGTTATTATCATTACATTAGCTTTTTACTTCTGCCAATTGGATTTACGCTTTAAAAATCACAAAGCCGTGTTAAAATGTGGAGATGATCCTGCTGAACAAAATGTGTCAAGTATCATAAACGTTTGTTCCCATTGCTTTTAGTTGAGGGACCCCTTGCAATGCTAACATCCGGGACTGACCTACAAAAATACATCATCACAGCACCACTCAATAAACAAACTACATCACAGTCACATGACTTCATGTCAACACCGCTAAGATAAAGGAGGCTAATGTTTGGATAGATGACTTTTAGTAGTCTTCTTTAGTCACTTGTTTGTTGTTAAGACACGTTAAAACTTCAGATTAATAGAGTCTGCATTTTAAAGTCTTTGTTTTGTGACATTGTGGCTTTGTTTCTTCCCTTCTAACCTTTGTGAATTGTTGGCGTCATTCCCAGGTGAAGCAGAGAGCAGATGAATGCATTCTGGCTCTGGACAAACTCATTGAAATCAACTCGGGGATACCAGTGCAAAATGTTTTAAAATCTAAATTTGACTGGACAATGTTGGAGGTAACCTACTGAGAAAATGTGACCTAGTTTTCATAGATTGTGAGTTTCTTTTGAACAGAAAACAGGCAGCAGCACACGCACACATTATAGAATTTAGAATAAGACAAGGAAATATGTGCCTAGTCCAGGTTTCAAACAAGCATGATATCCTCCAGTATAGGGGGCATTTCGACATGTATTCTTCCACTAATACATTAAAATGCAACAGTTGAATATTTCAACACTAGGCTCTCACCTCTGTGATGGAATTTTGTAACCATTGTAATACACACAATGTCCTTTTACCTGTGCTCTGATGTCAGAACCTGGCGTTCACATGGTAACAGCTGACAGTTAACCTGTGTCCCCTCCTCCTTCCTGGTGTCCCCTCTCCCAGAACTCCATGGATCTGTGTCGGATCGCAGCGGTGGGGCATTCCTTCGGGGGAGCGACAGCCATCGAAGCTCTCTGCAAAGATGTCAAATTCAAGTATGTGAAATTACAATGAACATCCAGGTCTCGTACATTATCATAACCCATGTTTCTGAGAGGCAGTAACAACTAACAGGTTGTTATGGTAAACATCTTAACCAAGATATCCCCATTAAACTTCTCCTTAATTTCAAGTTTTCTGAACGTTAAAATATGCAAATCTTATTATATATGTGCAGATATGCATACATTTCCAGGTAGAAATTTGAATATTACAAATAGGCCAGGTTCAACATTTATTAAGGTTTCATTTTGTTGACATTTTAAAGTCCGAAGACATTTTATAAACTAATTTGTATAACTCCATAAATCAGAGAAAAACAGTCATTGATTAGATAAGACAAGTATTTCTCATATCACACGTTTTCTGAAATGTAATGTCTTAATATGCAATCAGAGCATTATCTAGAGCAAATTGAATTAAGGAGAAATCTACAGACAAAGTAAGTTAAACAAACATCTACATTTCTGTGATGGATGTTTTCTTTACACTAATCTGAAAGAAGACATGTTATTGAAGCGTATCTCCAAACTGCCAGTGCATTTACATTATAATTGTTCAGTATTTTCAGTAACCTTACGTTCTCATCTCTCCTCCGTCAGGTGTGGCGTAGCGCTGGACGCCTGGATGTTCCCTCTGGACGATGAGATCTTCCCCCGGGTGAAGCAGCCCATCTTCTTCATCAACTCAGAGAAGTTCCAGTGGGCGGGAAACATCAGCCGAATGAAGAAGCTGGATTCAGCCGTCATTCAGAGGAAAATGATCACCATCAGGTACAACCAACAGAAACTCAGGGTGATCTGTACAAATATCAGTTAGATTAATCATTTTGGGGGGAGAAAGAACGAATACACGTGTGATGTTGTAGGTTAGAGACATCAGAGGATGTTTTACTTTATTATGACATCATTTCTGAACGTTTGCCCGGAGGTTCGACAATTTTTCCAACGCTTGGCTAAAGCATTGACAAAGCACATTATGTGTGCTACACGGGCCATATGCTCGTATGTTAAAGATTCAAGGCTTTATTGTCATATGAACAGTAGCTACAGTGTAGATATGGCAATGAAAAACTGAAGTCCCAGGCTCCTCCAACAATGTAACATGAATAATATAGCACATAAAACAAATAAAACCAATACAATTGTGAAATAAATAACAGAAAATAAATAAAATAGTGCAAGAGAATGTTGAAAGATGTGCAAGTAAATACAAATAAAATTGAAATAGTGCAAGAAGAGTCTATATACTGTACACGTAAATGGAATATGATATATAAATATATGGCAAGATGCAACAGATGAATGTTTATGGAGGCACTTTACAGAGTTCAGGTGTTTAATAGTCTTATTGCCTGTAGAATTAAACTGTCTCTGAGTATGGTGGCTTTTGTCCCGATGCTGCGGTAGTAACCTTGCTGACACTATCATACTGCGAGCGCTATCTGTCCACTATGTCCCACTCCTGTATAACTTCAAGAAACTGGAGGATGGGTCGTCAAAAGGCCTTTCTTCCGTTTTCACCACAACTAAAGTGAACAAGTGCAGGTGTGCTGTTACAGCGATGGTTCACACTGATGTCCAGTGGTCTCCAGTCGGTGCATCACATGTAGCGTGTGCCAGTCCGCTTCCATGAATTCTTTGCGATTCATGGTAAAAATCCATCAGAATCAAGTTTATTGCCAGGTACGTTTACACATACAAGGAATTTGCTTTGGTATCCGGTGGTGCGAACATGAGCAATCTAAAAAAAAATTGCAAAGTAGGTGGAAATATATAAGGATAATACAAAATAAGTATGTTTAAGAAACAATTTAGCATTAAAAAAAGGACGCTAAAGACAAGTAAGCATGCTGGTATTAAGGGAGGAAGTTGGGGTCAAACTCTGTTCTGTTATGTTTTTTTAATGCGTTAATGTTTCCAGATGAATTGCCAGCGTTAATGCATTAACAGCCCTTGTAAAAGTGTGTGGTTTCCTTACCCAATGTGTTCCCTCTGCAGAGGCACGGTCCACCAGAGTTTCCCGGACTTCACCTTCCTGACGGGGAACTGGATCGGCAAGCTGATGAAGCTGAAGGGAGAGATCGACTCGCAGATCGCCATGGACCTGTGTAACCAAGCAACACTAGCCTTCCTGCAGCGCCATCTAGGTACGGACACGCACAACCCCATCTAGTGTCTCAGGTGTATCATTTGTTAAAGCCCCTTTTTCAACTCTGGATTTCGCAGGTCTACATAAGAACTTCGATCAGTGGGACGCTCTGATCAACGGGCAAGATCCAAACCTCATTCAAGGAACTAACGTTACCGTGCTTCAGTCTGCCATCTGATCATCCCTGAACCTTGGGAGTCAGCTGATCAGTCGAAAAAGATTTCAAGCCAGGCCTACTAGGCTTTCCAAACAGACAGAGAATCAACATTTTGGAGAAGGAATCAATAGGAAGGATATTCTCTTACCTCATCAGGAGTGGTTTGTTTTCCTCCACGGATAAAACACTCACTCAGCGTACCAGCGTTTGTTCCCTGAGGCCTGAATGTTGCTGAACATTTGTTCTTTTCACTGTGACATCTTCACCATTAGCAGCCATTTCTGTAGATATAGGCTTTCCATAATTTTTAGTGTATACAAATTGAGATGTCATTTCACATGTCTCTTTGGATGTGACCTTCCAAAAGAGACCAGCTACTCTTTGATTGCAGTGTGATTACGGAATAACGTCTACAATGAGGTAGCCAACCAATAGGTATTGTTAAAAAGATTGAAGACTTGTATGATTTTAGATAAATTATTAACCTATCCATGATATCAAACTAAATGTGTCCTTCCTGATTCAACAGGAGCAGCTCCACACAGTATGTAAATAGAGATCATTAAAAGCTTTAACACTAATAGGCTGCATTGAGATATCATGTGCCTGAACTCTCAGTACTGTAATTCTTGGGTCTCAGCCTTCCACTTTTATACATTAAATGTCTGAAATATCTGCCATAACACAAATCCAATAAATCTGCTTTGTATACAAATCCAGCTTTTGCCAATTCATTTACCCTTTATGCCTCATTTTCTTTTACCTCACACCCAAATATTTTTCTACATGCCCTAGTTATTAAATGAAAATGTAATTGGTGGTATACTAAATGCCAGGGGGGAATTGAATGTCAATGAAAAGCAACATTAATTTTGATGCATGTAAAAAAGAAATGCTGCAGTGTCTTTTCTAACAAATATAAACCCAGACAAAAATTCCCAAAGCTGCCATTTCAATAATAGATTATTTTCCAAGTCAAAAAAGTTATTTATTTTCTTTACATTTTGTTTACACAATGCCTTTTTTATTTATTTTTTATGGAAAATACTTTCTGGGAGAATCATTTTTCTGTATATTGAAGGTATGGCTAGCTAGGTGTAAAAACAATGATTTTGATGCATTTACATTGTTGTGCCAGACCCCAGGGAAACGGCTCTCATTTGTCCCATAGGGCCACCATGACAAAACGACCTCATCTGGTGGAAAATAATAAAAGTGATTTTCTGAAGTCCAGATGGAGATGCGTATTAGTAAACATAATCCATGGACAAGTTTAGGTGCCCTTTTTTTAGACTAGCCTAATCTTACAATGTAACAGCTGAGAGAAACGGGGTAAAACTGAATGAGAATCATTAGAGCAGTGTTGGAGCTGGAAACCTGCAGCTTATTGAAAATCTCTTCAGTTAGGAGACATTTTCACAAACCCCATCAATTTCGTCCTAACCCATCAAATTATAAATAGAAAACCAGAGGTAAACAGATGTGGTACCGGCACTTGTTTTCAATGAAACAAAAGCAAACTAAACACAAGCCCTTGCACTAGTTAAATCAGTCCCTTTGTCTAGCAGGTCAGACTGCAGACCCCCCCCCCCCCATTCACAACATCTCCAGCTGCAAAGGAAATGGACAAACATCAAACATCAGAATCATAAACACTCGAGTAGTCGAACAAAATCAAGTCAATGCAGGTTGTGCGTGAAACAAAGAGACAAACTAAATGTCGACCGCTTTTACTTTCAGGAAATACTATATCATATTTCATTTATAGTTTTCTTCTTTCTTAAACTAAACTCGGGGCTGCCAACAAGGAAAAACACAGATTTACAGACATTAAGTTATAGTTAAGATGAATGAATACCAGGACTCATCGCTGTAGATCTGAAAAAATATTTATTTTGCCAACATTAATTCAACACATGCATGTATCCACACAAAACAAAAACACTTGAAAACTGCTGCGTTTCAAAAACATATAAAAGCAGCTTTTTGTATATATTTTTCAAAAAAAATGTGTAATACTTTCGAAAGAATTATGTGGCGGTTTATCAGAACAGATACTGTAACAATGCAACAAATCAAAATGGCCAAAGAGCACATGGAGAACTAAGACTGAACTTGTCTTTTAAAGCATATATTAAATAAAAGTATCAGTAAATAAAGTGGTTACTCCTCTGGCTTTGTGAGACGAGGGTCAGCAGGACTGTCATTTATGATCAGAGAGAGATGAGTGATCATCGACAGCTGGGCCTCTGAAACAACAGACGGAGGTTATTCATCACATGCAACATCACAGAGGACACAGAACTCAAAATGGCTGATCATTTTAATTAAAGGTATTTGACCATCAATGGTGAACATAAGGATGGGCTTTAGATTTATAGGGACGTTTTAACCCTTTTATTTTTGAAATGCATCCTTAGAGGGCACATACTGCATGTCAACACATTTCAACAAAGAGAATACTATATATTAATATTTGTTGCCACTTCTACTTTTTCCAACACAGGTCCTGATTCATCAACACCAAATATATTTGATAAAATATATTTGAACCTTTTAAATGCTAGTTTATTTTGATAAATAAAGCTCTAGTGGATTTAGAAATAATAAATTAAAATATTCCAAATTGTTACCTTCCACCTTAAAACCGCTATAATATATATCAGGGATGCAAACACACGTATGGTGAAAAAAGAGAGAACTATTCGAAACAGAAAAAAAACAGCGTAATATACCATCTGACAAAGGCCTGCGCTATAATGCTTCAATTAACTGGCTATTCTTTATAATATACTCAGATCAATAGGACACAGAGATGTTAAGTTATAAATCAAGGGTTTTTATTATTATTTACACCAGGGCTGGGGAACCTTTTTCCTTTCAATTTTTACAACATCCTCCGAGGGCCGTACAAATGATTTAACTCAACCTCTGCTTAGGTTAAAATACTAAAATCACAGCCCATTCATTTGGCCTTTCTTTCATGCTGTGCAAAGAAAAAGCAACCTCTTAATCCAGATATCTTACCATGACTGGCGCATGCATCCCACCAAAACAGAAAGATATGGACACAAGATGTGTGCAAATGTATTTAGTTTCCTATCCATGTGAACATGATTTAAGTTGGGGGGGGGGGGACCTAACCTCCTCTAGGGGGGTCCGGGGGCCTGCTCCCCCGGGAAGATTTTTTTTTTAAATATTGAAGTTAAAAAGCATCAATCTGGTGCACTTTGAGAGCAAAAAGAAGAGATCCATGGATACATCTCTCAACACCCATATGAAACAGAACTGTAAGCAGATTTTTCTTTTTGGATATTTTACAAATCACTCACCTTTTAAACTCTATTCTTGTTATTTTTAACAACTTTTTTGTTACTGTCATATAGTATTTTATACCTGTTTTTCATTTAGTCTCTAATGCAGGGGTGGGCAATTATTTTTTACAAGGGGCCACTTCAGAAACTCGAGCTGTGTTGGGGGGCCGAATCAAAAATAAGTTGAACTTAATTCTGCTCAATATACCAATACTGAAAAGGTGTTTTACAGTATGTTAAAGATAAGAAATGAATCAGCTTTATACAAAAAGAAATTAGTGCTTTTGATTTTTGTTTTTCAGTTAATTTTACTTGTTCAGTGAGAAAAATCCAGTCTGTCTTGGGCTTGAACAAGTGCACGGAAATCTGGTTCAATGTCTGAGGTGGATATGCGAAGGACAGCTGAGAGGTGATCATCAGTGATAGAGGATCTGTATCTGGATTTGTTGAACTTCATCACTGAGAATGTCCGTTCACATATGTAGGTAGATCCAAAGAGGACCATCATCTTCTGAGCACGTCTCCTGATGTGTGGAAAGTTCTCCTCTTTCAGGGAAGAGTAAAACTCAGGCAGTGAGACTGACCTAAAGTGCTCTGACAGAAGTGTGTCAGACTGCAGGTCAATGAGTTCAAGCTGAACATCACTGGGTGCATCATCCACATGGCATGTAAATGGGGAAAAGATCATGTTCATTTCATTCTCAACTGTTTTGAAGTCTTTAAATCGCCTTGAAAACTCACCATGCAGTGCTTCTAACATGGATGAGTACCTCTGGAGGTGATCAGCTGATGGTGTGGCTTCCTTCAGTGTTGGCAAGTGCGTGAGAATGTTGTCCTCCATTTGGCTTGAGAGAAGCTGCAGCTTTCTCATGAAAGCCTTCACTGCACTGTACATGTCATGCACAAAAAGGCCCTTGCCTTGCATTTTGACATTTAGTTCACTCATTAGTGCAGTCACATCTACAGCAAAACCAAGGTCTGCCATCCAGTCTGCATCTGAAAGCTGTGGGATGTCGTTTCCTTTCTTCACACAGAAGTCTTGAATCTCTTCTCTCAGGTCCCATACTCTTTTCAGCACTTTGCCCAGGCTGAGCCACCTGACAGCTGCATGGTAGGGTATGTCACGATGTTCAGTCTCACTTTCCTCCAAAAGTGCAACAACCTGTCTGTGATTCAATGCTCTTGCCCTGATGAAGTTAACTATTTTAGTTACAACATCAACAACATGGTTAATTTTTAACACTGACTTACACAACACTTCCTGATGTATAATACAATGCAAAAATACCTATTTCTGCTCAGGGTTAATTTCTGTCACTTTATCCTGCATTCTCTTCAATAGTCCAACATTTTTCCCTGTCAGATTTGGACAACCATCCGTTGTCACGCCTGCCAGCTTGTCCCATTTCAGTCCCAACTTTTCCACACATGCATTTACCTCCGTGAACAAATCACTCCCTGTTGTTGTACCTTTCATTGACTGCATGGCTGCCAGCTCCTCCGTGATTTTGAAGTCTGTAGTTATCCCACGTAGGAAGATGAGTAGCTGGGCAGTGTCACGTACATCGCAGCTCTCATCCAAAGCCAAGGAAAAAAAGTCAAAGTTGACCGCTCTGTTCTGCAGCTGAAGCTCCAGATTTCCCACGATGTCCTCAATCCTCCTCGTAACAGTGCGTCGCGAGAGCGGCACTTTCTCAAATGCCTCCTTTTTCTCCGGGCATATTAGTGTCCAACAAACACTCCTTAATGAACTCTCCGTCCGAAAACGGTTAACTTTTAAGACATAACTCGTCTTGACAGCTGCATCTCTGGATGTGGAATGTTTTGTGAAAATGTGTTGTTGGCTTTGCAGCTTAGCTAGCAAAGCATCCGACCCCTTTGCCCGCTCTTCCTCAGACAGGTTCTTGTATTTATCTGCGTGTTTGGTAGCATAGTGGCGACTCAAATTGTACTCCTTGAACACAGCGACCTGCGCACCACAAACTAAACACACAGCTTTACCTTTCACTTCTGTAAATAAATACTTAGCGGTCCATGTCTTGTTGAAAACGCGGCATTCAGTATCGATCTTTCTTTTTTTGCCCTTAGCGGACATTTCGAGGACTAGCCGGCCAGCATCACTCGTAGCTGTCACGGCATGCGCGTTTACGTAAATAAATTAAAAAAACAGCAGCTTCCTTTTCAAAATAAAAGCAACACAGTTAGAAAAGTATTTACGCCATGCAAGCAATACAGCTGTGTTGCTTTTATTTTGAAAAGGTTGCTGTTTTTTTTCATTATGTTATAATTTATGATCAACCTCACACGGGCCGGCCAAGGCCGGCCAACGGGCCGGATGTGGCCCGCGGGCCGTAAAATGCCCACCCCTGCTCTAATGTCTCATTAATAACTATAATTATAATGATCATATCAAGGTGTGCCTTAACCTCACTGAGCTGAGGTTATTTGAGCCTCTCAGGAGAGAGCTCTCCACCTGGTTGTAGAAAAGCTCTTTAAATTCGTTAGCATAGCTAGCTAACCAGATGCTAATAACAACAGATCGCCACTGTGCTTACAACTAAAGACACAGCCACGCAAACACTGCGGCATGTGTACGGCTCCTTATGGGTACTGCAATATTTGAAGAGCTGGAGTGCAGTCAGCACTCATGGTTAAATCTACACAACTTTCTCTGGTGTATCCCGCTAAAGTTACATTTCATCAATGACTTTGATTTCAACTCAACTTTTGAATTATTATTAATATCACTTACCAAAACTGTCATCAGCAGAAGAAGACTGTTGTTCCTCGAGCTCACTGCTGCTGACATCCTGGAAAAGAATCCACAAGCTCTTAACCTCAACCAGGAAATGGGGCTCATGTGCAACGCATGCCCAGAACATCATAGTGACTATTACACATTTTTATTATTGACCGTATCAAAGATTTAAGAAAAGTGCAGAATGAACAATTTATTTCATATTTTAATATGTTATTTTTAAAAATGATTATTAGAATGTAATCATATTTTAATTACATGTTGTTTCTGGAGCATCAACAGTAACCTTTACAACAGCAGTCACTGTATAAAGTCAATAATATCTCACTGGACAAACTCATTGAGAATATAGAAATGTCACTTCATTATGCTTGTTGAGCAGGTGTATTAATAAAGTATTGCTATTTTTTTGTATTTCTGAACGTTTTAATGGATTACAGTGTTACAGTAACAAGTGTGGAGCAGAAGAGATGCTGCAGAAGCGTGATAATAAATTACCCAAAACGTTAAGAAGTTCCTGTAAAAGAAACGGTAACGACTGAGTCTATCAAAACTTAAATCTTTAATACCTTGGCCCTGGGGCCATACTGGTGATGAAAGCACACTGGATTCAATATGGGGGGGGCTGCAGTCCCACTCAGCCTTTATAGTGCAATGTGTACTGCAAACACCCAGCAGTTTCTAGTACTTCCTCTGTGCCTAATTACCACCATGTGATGTCAGTGGTGGAAAGTAACTAAGTTCATTAACTCAAGTACTGTACTTAAATACACATTTGAGGTATTTGTACTTAACCCTGGTTAGGACTTTATACTTCTACTGTACTAGATTTTGGAAGCAAATGTACTTTTTAGACCACTACGTGTATTTTAGAGAATTATTTTCTAGTTACTTTATGAACTCAGATTTGTACACACAATAGGAAATAAGGTTTAAAATTTCATTATTTGGTATATATATCAAACCATCCAACATTACATTTAAGTAACTTAAACTATGTGTCGGTGAACAAAATGTATTGGCAGCAAGTTTTAGTTCCAGCTTCTTTTATGTGAAGATTTGCTGCTTTTCTTTAAAATATTTACAGATCTTTTGAGTTTTTTCTGCATCCAGTACTTTCACTCCTAATTCTTTAAATACTCGATGAACTTGAAATTGAGTAATTTTACAGTGTAGTTTTAGTACTTTTACTCAAGAAAGGATATTGACTACTTTTTCCACCACTGGTCATAAAGGTTTCCATTTGACACTTAGATTTAAAATCTATCGAAACACATTTAGACATCGACTGTGGATTAAAATGCCTTCATCTTTCCCCTTTCCCCCTGAACCGTTACCTCCGTTTCCTCGGGGGGGGAACCCACCGGCTGCTCTCCCTCCTCCTTCTCAGCTTCTTGTCGTTGATCTGAAATAAAGAAATCTGTATTACAACCCAGCAGAATATCTGTGTCTGCAGTCACGTTACAGATTACATGATCATGATAACTAGCAGGATTAAAATACATTTTCTCGAGTGAAACCATAGCTTATCTTCCAGGTCATCGTTTCTGTTGTTCAAATATTTTTTATTCTAAACTGTAGTAAATTCTCATGTGTTGTGCATTTATATTGTTGGTCTATAGACTAGGCTTAAAAGGCCACATTTTATAATCTTTTTTAAGTTTACATGATCAGTTGTCCGATATAAAACATCTTTTTGTTATTTATTTTCTCTTGTTTTTATTTGCATTGCATTTGATATCAAGGTATCCAAATGTAATCAGGTTACATTACTTTTGTGATACTTGTATTAGATTACTGATGACATTTTATTACAGGTAATTGAAACTTTTTTTTTTTTTCTAAAATCCCTTTCAAATAACAAAGATGTTTACTTTCATACATCCATGTCCTTTTAGAAATCAAGAAACAAAAAAATGGTGCACTTATTCTGCCATTTTAATATTGATTTAGAAATGTATTATCATCTAAATGACAGGCACATTCGGTTCAGTAATTGTGATACCTGTGCAGACGTCTGTCAGACAGATCCCTCCCACAAGACAGGTCACCTCCTCAACCAGGTTTATCTGAAAAACAATAAAGACAGCATTTGCTTCTTAGTGATGTGATGTTTTAAAGATTACATTTAGAATTGTGTTGAAAGATCTCAGTTACCAAATCTGGACAGGGAGCTGAGGAGGCTTGTGGCTTAGAGTCAGAGGAAAGAGCTGCAAACAGACACAAATATCCTAAATTACAATGCATTTCAATTAACTGTTACCCAAAATAAAAGCAAGAAGAGGAAATTAATGTTCACTACAATAATCAAGATAACAAACCAGAAAGCTCATCTTCATGAAGAGTTGAAGTCTCGTCTTCATCCGAGTTATTCTAAAAACAGAACCGACCACAAATAGCAGAGACAGCCGAATGAAAGCAACTTTCAAAGCAAATCAGATTTATTATGATACATATATGATCAAACTGCTTCGAAAATGGGTTCTTTTCCCCAGAAAGTGGGTTCTACCTTACCTCTTTATGCATGGCCTCATCCTGTAGGGAGAAGAATATTTCAGGCTCTGACAGAGCTTCTGTGAAAAAAAAAATTCCACAATCATGTTCTGCACATCATTCAGGAACACAGGAGCTTTGTAGACTGATCTGTAGCCTAACGGCCCGTCCACACGGCGGCGTGCGTTGAAGCTTGCCGGCGGGGGGGGCTGAAACTCGACCAACAACCAATCACATGAATCTCCCGCTCCGGATACACAAGCACGCGGTTTGATTGGCTAGAGCTTGTACTGGCATATGATTCGATTGGCTGACGCTTCCGCCGAAGCTTAAAAAGTTGAACATTGCTCAACTTTTGCAGCGAGCAACGCTTCTGAAGCTACGCTTCGCTCCCACAATACAGTTCGGCGAAACGTGACGTCACCCCATTCAAAGTGAATGGGCAGAAGCGTTGAAGCTTCAACGCACGCCGCCGTGTGGACGGGCCGTTAGAGTTAGAGGTAGTAAGTGAAGCTTTAGTGATGCAGGAAGGAGTCCTTAAAACCAGGAAGCGAGTTGACATTTGACCACTTCTCCCTTGTCTCACAGTTTTTTTGAACGTGTTTTTGGTTAGACACCCTGAACTAAGATCTGCTGTTAACACAAGCTAAAGAGATTTTCAATTGTTGTTATACATCAGTAAATAATCCACTGGTGAATGTCCGAAGCTTTAATGTGTTGTAAAAACAGCGATTGCTATAAAGTCACTAAACCAGACGACTAAACGCCATCACGCCAAACATTAGCCGCATTAAGGTGGTGCGCAGCAATGCGAGCGTGATGTTTATGGCCCAATGTAATATGTGGAGTTTATCCTGTTGAGCAAAACATGTAAGTTTCATGTTGGCCACAAAGCTTATTTTAATAAGATACGATCTATTTGTTAGAAATGACTCACCTGTAACTAGTTCACAAAGAAGCTCTTTATACAGAGGCTGTGATTCACTTGGGACCTAAAATGTAAGAAATCACACAATTTGAACAAAAACAACTTTAGACAATTAGTTTAACAGTACTGTATGAGACGCTTCCCAGTTAACCTCCTCTAAGTTAACCTGTTGTTTTGATAAATTCAGTAAGGCGTGTTTTTTCCACCTCTGCGAGTCCAGAAGTCAGGTCCTTCTCACTTCACCCTGCTTTTACTCAAATTGAGTTTTTCACAAATTCACGCCCAGGATACAGTCTATGCAACTCAATACGCTCAGCAGATTTTTCACATTCATATTTTAAGCCTTCCAATTATTAGAAACGGGAGAAACTAAGAACAGCAAAGTGGTCAGTATTTTCACTTTTTTAGCATCAACCACTATTCATCGTTTTTTTTTCTTACCTTGCCTGTATTTGTGACGAGGCGTTTATCCATTTGCCTCTGAAGAATAGCCTATCAAGTAATTTTGTTGTCTTTATTATACCCAGCCTGAGCTCAAGCTGCCCTTCGAATCTTAAAAAGTAACCGTTAAAAAACACTGCAGGTGCATATACCTCACATGGGAAATATATTTTGATGTTAACTACCGTTTCCTCTGCTGTCATATTGCCGAGACAATCCTCTTTATCGGTCGACACTTTGGAGTCATCACTTGGCTCATTTAGATCTGCGGTGCAAAGATAAAAAGTCACTGATACTACAGAACATGGAAAGCTGCTGCCTCCATGCCAAATACTGTCAGCTTTTGTTTGTTGTTTGTTCATTCAGTGAAGTCTGATACCTGTGCTGACATCTGTCAGCGAGGCGTCTTCGTCGGAACAGGTCCCCTCTTCTTCCTCGTCACCCTGAGCAGCAATAAGTCAGACGTTAAGATTATCTCCGAGTCGAAACCCTTTACCGACATTTTGTCACATTTAGCTCTGTATAGCCTTTAATAACTCAGTCGAATGTTTTGAACGACGGACAAAGACAGCTTTTTATTAGTTACATCCTGTTTTAGAAATGTTATTTTATAGGTTTTTACTTTGGTTGGTATGTTGGACTTTTAAGATTTTACCTTTTATTATTTATTACATTTTTGTTGACATCTTGTTTGTTTTTTTTGTTTTATTTATTTAATAGGTTTTTATATGTATTGTATTTATTTATTTTGTGTCCCTCAAACTGTTATATTATATTGCTATGCTGCATATGCGCCAAAAGGTTTTGCCGTCTGACCTGAAGTTAATTTCTTGTTCTTTGATTTAATTTGCGATGTGTGCCTTGCTGTTCAAGCACTTTGAGCTGCACCTGATGTATGAAAAGTGCTTTACAAATAAGGCTATTATTATTATGCTTTAGATGCTGCTAAAAAACAGTTCTCTTTACTTGGATTGCAAAACAGCTGTGTTTCCATGATATATTGATATTATATGGGTATCATGATGTGAGACTTGATTTGGACATCGTAGGGTTATGATATGGCATGCAAATTACCATTTCCTCTGCTGTCACGCTGCTGAGGCTATCGTCTCTCTCACTGGTGACCGTATCATCATCACTGGGCTCATATTGATCTGCAGTCATAATGAATGAAACAAACTCACTGATAACACAGCACATATTAAGATGCTGCTTCCACTAAAACTAGCATTGATAAAGCAGTGCTGTGATAAGTTATGTTATTCAAGTTCTGCTGTTTATTCAGTAGCTAGTGAAGTCTGGTACCTGTGCTGACATCTGTCAGCGAAGTCTCTTCCTCAGAACAGGTCCCCTCTTCTTCCTCGTCACCCTGAGCAATAACGATAAAAGCAACATGTTAAAAGTCACACATTTTGCCGTTTGATTTGAGAATTGTGTGGTTTTAAATCCTTTACCAAATCTTGAGAGGGAGCTGTGCTGGTACGTGGCTCACCGTCTGTTGATCCAGAGAGAGGCAGGACTGCACATACAAAGACAAATTATTTGGACAGACTATTTGTGTAATCAAAAGGCTTATAAGTGCTTAGGAAAGAAGTTCAAAAAGCCACTATTTCAGGGTGAGATAACGATGATTTTTATGGTTTTATTAGATTAAGAAATACCCTTCCTACTATGGTGTTTATAGTAGGGCTGTGCAATTAATCATATTTTAATCTCGGTTACGATTTTGGCTTGCAACGATTAGGAAAACAACGTAATCAAAATAAAATGATTATTTTGCTGCGTGCGTTTTCACCCCTCCCTAAAAGCCCTCTCGGCCAGGTTGTGAGTGACAATAGTTGTGCGAGTTCAGCGCGAGCGAATATGGCAGAACAAGATCAACTCGTGACCAAGAAAGGTAAAACTAATTCCCGTTTGGAAATACTTTGGGTTTAAGGAGTCCGACGTGGAACAAAAAAGTACAGTGCAGCAGGGGCGGACTGGCCATCTGTGTGTTCTGGAGAATCAGACGGCTGGCTTGCTTTTTTTAAACGTCATTATTTCAGTTGCGCTGACAGGCGACAGAGGTCCTAAGTTTCACCGCAGCGAGGCTCCCCCCGCGTTGACAGTTCACGAGCGTGCCCCCTCGACTTCATCCACCATCAGTCATCAATTAAGGACGTGCTTTACAGTGCAACGGCCTACTCAACCAGCTCGCAAAGACACAAAGATATAACAGATGCCATCACATTCTACATAGCTAAAGACATGTGCCCAGTTAGCACGGTTAACAACCAGGGGTTTAAGCAACTGGTTAACACTATGGACAAGTGTTACGCGATGCCATCTCTGCATCATTTCACCAGATCTGCACTGCCTGCCCTATATGACAAATGCCATGGGGAAGTTGAAAAAGATGTGGCTTCAGCTGAATACTTTGCAGTTGAGTTGTACTTAAAGTTCAGGGTAATCGGTCAGTGTATGTTTTGGTCATTGGATTTTCTTTTCACAAATGGATATTCAAAAACAAAAAACGACTGGATATTTGATTTTCGTTTTAAAATTGAAAAACCAAAATTGAAATACAAGGCGTTTTTCTTTATCATGGTCAAAAAGGGATTTACTAAACTTAAAAAACGGGATGATTTTCATTTTCTACTTCTCAAAACAAAAAATAAAATCACTAGAAAACAGAAACAAAAAAAAACCCCGTTTTTTCATATTCTGCTACCGGAAGTTGTCTTTCAACATAAGAGCGCAGATGAGGACGGTCAATCCGTGTATCTACGGTCCATTTGTTTTCACAACGAAAACAGCCAAGACACATATTGAGCCCAGAAAATTAATGTTATTAAGGGCTGTAAATATAATAGTCTAAAATGGACAACATTGTTAGGAGATTTAAACTATACAGCGATTCTGCACTGCGGTCAACTCAGCCGTCTCTCCAGTTTGTTATTATTTTTTCTGCTCTAGATATAGCATATCATTGATGCAGTCTTTCTGAACACTTTTAAAATAAAATACTGCAAATTAAGAATATTTGTAATGTTCTGCACAGATAGTGCCTTAACTTGAATTTGAAAACCCGTGGCAGCTTTATTATTACAGCAGATGAAAATATTTGTGGAAGGATACATTCTTCATGGGCTTCAATGGCTCTAGATAAAGGGCGTTTTATGGTTGCTTGTATAATCCTCAGATAGTGGTTTGTTTAAATAACTAGTGACATTTTAATAAATATTGCAAAAAAGGGCTCCAAAAAAGGCATATATCCTGGCTGGCTTAGCCAGTGTGTATTTTTTCAAGCACCACAAGATTCATAGTTTATAAAGTACAATTCTGGGCCATTGATTGTGTAATTTCTCCAAACTCATACAGTAAAAATCGCTGTTGTTGAAGCCTTAAAATGGTGCAGGAAAAGGACTTTACATTGTATTATACTTAAAGACAGGACTATTCAGTTAAGAGAAGAGAAAAAAGGAAAGAAAACTGTTATAATGGGTGATGTAACATTAATGACAGACATAATATGAGGTCCTTGGCACACATTTTGTGATCATGGGGCATCACCCTTGTATACAACATCAGGACAATATCATATGGAGTCAGATACTGGAAGTGGGCTGGAGGCGTTGACTGGGACTGATGGAAGGATGAGGCTGATGAGACTGAAGAATCTGCGAGGAACGAATTAGCGGCTGAGAAATAGTTATATATTAAAAGACAGCAGCATCATAAGAGGCCAACCAAAGTGACAGAGTGTGTTACTTTGGTGAAGGATATTTGGGACCAGCTATCCAGGCCAGTCTCTAAAGAAGTTCCAAGGTGTAAAAATGCTGCTGCCGGAGTACTGACTGGAAGTATTGCTGATATCATGTCTACCATCCTCTTAAAATACTCTGTCCAACAATATCAGTCTCAGGAAGAAATGTTTTTTTAACGCTTATTAAAAGAAAAACATGCATTCTTGTACTCGGGAGGGGACATTGACAGAGGATTACTGGAAAAGTACACAGTAAGTACTTCATAGTACTTGTGGGGGTAGTTTCAGTAGTACTGAGTCCAACAGGATCAATCTCACGAAGAACTAATGGCAACAAAAAATAATTCCCTCATCAAACATAGCAGAAGTGGCTTGATTTTGTTCTCAGCAGGGGACTTTGACAGAGTATTTCTAAAAAAAAGTACACAGTAAAATTACTTCAATGTATTGTTAGTAGTATAGGCTAACTAATACAAAATCAAACAGTATCAATTTCATTCAGTGTTATAGCAGAATGTTTAATACAGCGTATTTCTGATATTCATTAAAGATCACATGGTATTCCATATGATGTGTGTGACTGAGTTGGGTCACACACAGTTAGAGAGACAATGGTCGTTCTGAATTATCAATAGATGTATTAATTTTAAGTGAGCTGACACCGAGGTTAGAGGAAGTTCAGAGAAGGCCTTAGGTTATAAAAAACAGTTCACCTTTTTGTTTGTTAACTACTCCTAAAGAGGTCATGAGACGATGACGTTTAAACATATACAAGTATAGCTTTCAGAGAGAAAAACATGTGACATTTGTGTGGTAGGCTGCATGATAAAATGTGTGTGCTTTAAACATGCTTAGGGAAAATGTGTGTGTGTTCATTGCAGTGGCTATATATGCTGTATGATTGTTGCTACTGTGGGGGGCATTTCCGCGATTGGCTGCTGTGGCAGCAGGTGATGTACTCCCCATTATTGTTTGTTTGTTGCAACAACTAAATAATAATTACTGATCAGCTATGTCTGTGTTTGTGTTTTATTGATTCCTCTCTGTTTCATTCTTTCCTGTTGTGTTATGCTGGACCGCCACAACAAACTAATGGTAAAATTGTCTTTTTATCATTCATCAAAGATAGCAGAAAAACATGCATTATGTAGGCTACTATGGAGGGGACTCTGACAGAGGATTACTCACAAAGTACACAGTAAAAGTACTTCATTTCATTTCTGGTAGTGTAGCACCCATAAGGTTGAGGTTGTCTACCTGCACATGCATGTTTATACCACAAGGGGGCAGATCACCTGATGGTTCATCATTGTTTTATGCTGGAGATGAACAGAAGTGTGTCTGTGTGTTGTGCTTTGAGATCGTTTGAGATGCTGACATCTTGCACATGTGCCTTGTGGAAGTTAATAAATTAACGTTTTATACACCTATAATACCCTTGCAGTCTGAGTGGTGTAACAGTAGCAGTCAAATTAGTACCGAGTCCAACAGTGTCAGTTTTATTAAGAACTTGTGGACAAAAATATTTGTATCACTCATTGAATATAGCAGGGAAAAAAATGAAGAGCAGCTGATTCGAAAAAACAAATTCGAGAGACGGCTGAGGTGACCATGGTGCCAGAAAGCCACAAGTGGGACAGAGCTCTGTCCCACTTGTGGCACAAACATACTCTAGTTTTTTTACCACAAGTTCTTAATAAAACTGACACTGTTGGACTCGGGACTAGTTTGACTGCTACCAGAAATGAAATGAAGTACTTTTACTGTGTACTTTTTGAGTAATCCTCTGTCAGAGTCCCCTCCATAGTAGCCTACATAATGTATGTTTATCTGCTTTGATGAGTGATAAAAAGACAATTTTATCATTAGTTCTTAATGAAATTGATACTGTTTGACTTCGTATTAGTTAGCCTACTACTAACAATACATTGAAGTAATTTTACTCTTTACTTTGAGAAATCCTCTGTCAAAGTCCCCTGCCGAGAACAAAATCAAGCCACTTCTGCTCTAGAGTATGTTTGTGTGGGACAATGTGGCCCGTGGGACATGTAAATGCAATGTCGATGCGTGAACTGTCAACGTGGGGTGGAGAGACACTATGGACGCTCGTGAACTGTCTGATTCATGTCATAAATCAGATTTTAGAAAAGCGTTTTAGCCAATCAAAATGAAATATGCGGGACATCGTCTCAATTTGCGGGACGCACCAAAAGTTGTGAAAATGCTGTGCAAAACCGCACAAATCGGGACATCTGGTCACCCAGACGGCTGAGTTGACCGCAGTGCAGAATCGCTGTATAGTTGAAATCTCCTAACAATGTTGTCCATTTTAGAAATAGGCCTATTTTATTTACAGCCCTTAATAACATTCATTTTCTGGGCTCAAAGTGTGTCTTGGCCATTTTCATTGTGATCGCTAAATTCCCCTTGTTTATAATAATCACAGTTCCTTCAACAGGATACTGTAGTGATTCAAAGTGTGATTTTAGCATAGCCTACGAGTGCTTTTGTTTTGAAATCACTTCCGTGAGTTTCGTCTGCGCTCTTATTTTGTAAGGTAACTTCCGGTAGCAGAATATGAAAAAAACTGTAGTTTTTTTGTTTCTGTTTTCTAGTGATTTTATTTTTTGTTTTGAGAAGTAGAAAATGAAAATCATCCCGTTTTTTAAGTTTAGTAAATCCCTTTTTGACCATGTTAAAGAAAAACGCCTTGCATTTCAATTTTGGTTTTTCAATTTTAAAAACGAAAATCAAATATCCAGTCATTTTTTGTTTTTGAATATCCATTTGTGAAAAGAAAATCCAATGACCAAAACATACACTGACCGTAATCAACTGTTAAAGATAGTTAATATATATATATATTTTTAAAGTTCTATAAATTGATGTTTTCAAAGTCAATGAATAATCGTATTTAATTATCGTGATATCAATATTGACCAAAATAATCGTGATTATGATTTTAGCCATAATCAAGCAGCCCTAGTTTGTAGCACTTACCAAACCAAATGTTTGAAGTTGGGCTCATATTGCATATACAATATGTAAACACTAATGCCAAAATGAACGGGCGAAGCCTAAAAAAGGTGTTTAAACCAACAATCAAACAAAATATTTTGGGATGTAAAACCTGAACATTTGTCTTCATGAAGAGCCAGAGTCTCTTCTCCAGTCATCAAGTCATCCTACAAGAGAACAGATTATCCATCACTGGCCAGCACACACTGTCACTGATGTCTGACTCAATTTAGTTATTTGTGCAGACTTCGATTATATACTCTGCACAAGAAAAGAAAAAATCATCCAAAATACTGTATTTCCACAACATTACCTCAACATGTGTGGCAACACATGGCAGCTCTTCCTCTGTGACACCGTCTGCCACAGTGTCAATCTCCCGCCCTGAGGGAGCATCTATGGGGATTTCAAGATGTTGTTTCAGTGCATTTAGTATCACAAATTACACATACATTTACATCTGTAAAGCAATTTTCTTTTTAATAACCTAAAGCTACAATCATGTCAGAATAAGGAATCCCTCACCAAATGCAGGAAGCACACAGGAGGGCAGCATCAGTTCAGCCTCAATCTACAAAATCAAAAAAGTTAAAAAGCAGAGAAAGAAAACAATTGGGAACAACAGAAGAGGATAAAGGAGATTTTTATCTTGGGTCCTTTTATGCTGTCATGTGATGTACCTGCTTCACATATTCAATATATGTCTCAAACAGGTCAACGTTCTCCTTGCGACGAACAGCTTCACGAGAAACCTTTAGAACACAACACTGCGTTAGATTTAATCAAGTCTATGTACTCAAGTCAAGTGTACTCATGTCAGTGCTATATATAAAAGCACCTTCATACATACTATTTGCTAACGATTTTTTCACATCATTTACCATTTTCACTTTTGTCGTACTGGTAGAATAATTTCCCCTTGCCTTTGTAACCTTGCCCCCATCTCCTTCAGTTGGACCTGGAAATACAAAAAAAAGGGACATTATTACCTTCACACAATAACAATCAACAGGTGAAAAAAATATGTGAGGAGATATTAATTTCTTACTTACCAGAACCAGTGTTGTTATTAATCTCTCCTGGCAGAGACTCCAAGTCGGTAGTGGTATTCTCCGACTCATCTATGGACTCCGTAGGGTTCTCATCCGATAGCCCAGTCAATGAAAAACCCTCTTCTGTGTCTTCGTCAGCTTCAACCACACTTGTGTCACAGCTAGAAAAATCTTGATCCCCTTCGTTATCTAATAGGCATAACATTGTTTCAGCTGAGTGACTACCAGATGCCAAAACATCTGCGTGGAAGTCAATGAGATTGCCAGTGCTCTGCGTTTCAGGGTGGCCTCTCTGAGGGTCGATGCGTGCATGAGTAGCATCGATTTTTTCGCCTAGTTCATCCTCGGGTAGTTGATCCTCAGGAGGTGCAGTCTCTTTCACTGTGGAGTCACAAAGAAGTGGTGTACTGTATGTAGTTGTTAGTCCAACTGCAGGTTCGTTTCCTGTCGCTGAGCTCTTCCACCAGGTTTTCAACGCCTCGTTTAGCACCTGGCCCTCACATTCCATCCGCACAAGGCATTTCACATTTTCTCCTTCTCTAGTTACTCTGGTGACAGTCAGCTGTAGCACTTTTTCTGTTGTTAGTGCAGAGAACTCATCAACTGCATTACTGTTCCAGGACCCGTGTAAGGCATCAAAGCCTTCCAGCCCGCACCTAAACGCCTGTGGAGGAGTTTCCATCAGCTCACAGGGCATTTCCCTTACATCTGCGTTGTTGATTTGGGACTTGTTTCCATAGTCTACAAAGACAACAGACAGCTCATCCCCATCTTTGTCAATGACCTGTGCACGGTACCAAAAAGCATCGTCTGAAAAGAGAGCAATACATGGGTTTCCAGGGGAAAGAGAGCTTGCGTCAATGGGTTTGTAATCGACCGCATCCCCCACTTCAGAGACTCTTGATGTTATCTGATCAAGCTCTTCTGAGTCTGCAGGCTGACACCAAAAGGTTTGAACATCATCTATAGCGGTGATGTAGACCTCTAACTTTTGTCCTTCTGAAAAATCTTGTTGGTGGTAGCTTAGAGAGCAGGAGTTCAGCAATTTCTCAGAGTTTTCTGGCATGTTCCGAAGGTCGGAATCCTTGGAAGGTTTTTCCTTGACTTCAAGTTTCTCTAAGGGGATTTCCGCTGAACCTTTTGTAGGTACTTTACACATGACATTTACGCCGCTGTCTTCAAAACTGACTTCCCACACAGACCCTGACTGCCTGATGAACTGGCAGTTGAGCGACTTTTCTCCATTACCACCGATGTCTTCTTTGAAAGCTGACACCACTTCTGGGGCAAGCACATCCTCTTTTCCAAGACCTGTAGTCTCTCTCAGCAAACATTGTGTGCTGTACATGGGAAGCTGCAAGAAGGACTTATGGAGTCTGCCCATTTTTGAAATTGGAACCATTGCTGTATTTCCAAAGTCAACAAACTCGACAAGAGCCATTGTATTGCCATGGACCTCTCTCACAACTGCTCGATACCATGAGGAATCATCTGCAAATTCCGCTTGCACAAGGTCACCTGGACTCATGTCTTTGAGGTTGTCGGTTTGAGGGGTGAATTTGGAATCATTTAGCTTTTCCACAATGGAGAATATGTCATCCTCCTCACTGACAAGTTGGACATAGAAACTCAAAGGGCTGTTGCAGTGCGAGACATAAACATCCGCTTCCATACCTGATGTGATAGATTTTGTCGGCAGGTCTGCAAGTTTAGGGAATGTTTCAGTTTTGCTTTCCTTCTCAGGGTCAGGGGATTTGGACTTGATGACCTGTCTAGTTTCTGCAGAAAAACCTTCCTTCTTTGGTTTGCTATAGGCACATGTCGGCTCATAACCATTTCCTGTATCGTTTGGTGTCTTTCTGTCTGACTGTCTTAGGTGTGGAGGTATGTAGAGACCTTTGATCTTCCGACCAGTTTTTGGTGAAGACTGAAGATTTATGTCAGCATCCCTCATTTGGCGTGCTGGTTTTGGGGCAGACACATTTTTGATGGTTGGAGTGTGATCTTCCATTTCTTCTTGTTTTGGGAAAATCTTTGCAGTCTTTTGGTCATAATTTGCTGAAGCCTCAGGTGCTCTCCAACCCTGGCGGACAACCACCCCTTCTGTTTGCATCTCAATCTGAAACATCTTCTTTATCTTTGAATTAACTTGAGTGTTTCCTTGATACAGCTCAACCAGCAGTTTTCCATCTGGTTCTCGGGCCACCACTAATGCTCGAAATGTGCATTCTGTCGAACTTGTTTCAAACCAGCTGTTTGCCTCACTGGGAACATCGGCAGGGACATCGGAGAGACTACACACAACTGCTTGCACAGGAACAGACATGATGTCAATAGCCTCTCTGGGAACAGGAAGCAAGTCTGATTGGTCCACCTCAATAGTGTCACCATAGTCCACAAACTGAACCAGAATTGCCGGCTGAGTGGCCTTAATCTGTCCCCTGTACCACTGTCCATCAGTGTACCTCGCAAAGCACAAAGTTCCAAAGACTGTTGGGAGCTTTACCTTCTCAAGCTGAAAACAGAGATTGTTCACTTTGATCTTGAGATCTTTTATCACATCAGCGTTTCTCTCGAGCTGGCAGTAGAACTGACTGACATTGTTTACAGATGTCACTGTGACCTGTTCCTCTGTTCCAGTTTTGACATTGTGCGTCGAGTAGTAGTATGTGTCCAGACGGAAAGAGGGCGAAGCAGCTTTTTTTGGAGGGGCACTTTTGACAAGATTTACCATACTTGTGCAGATGCTCTCAAAGGGAGTTTCTAGATCCACAATGTTGAAAAGAACCTTCTGCTCACTGTACATGACAGCATATATGGTGCACTTCAAAATCACAAACTTGGATGCTGAAGTTTTCACAAAGCTGTGGAACCTTGCTACTGCTTCTTCGTTCCAGTCATTTATGACAGACGTAGGGTCAACAGGGTTTAACAGACTGCATCGGAAAGCTTGGCCTTGCAGAACAAGGAATTGTGGGCTAATCCTCCTTAGGTCATGGAGGGGGACTGTGTCCCTTGGGCCATAGTCAACAAACAACACATCCACATCAGGCGTTTTATGTTTGTGAATTACAAGGGCCCTGTACCACATTCCATTTTCAGGATGGCGAGCTACACAAGCTGCTTCCACAAGGGGCTGAAACTCAGTGTCTGCATAATGAGCCTGTAGGTCACGCATGAGCACTTTCAAATGCCCTGTATTTTGAACCAGTTGGCACCAGAAGTCGTTTGGGCTTTCAATGTAGGACACACTGACATCAAGGACACTTCCAATGGGAAACATGTGCTCCTTGAATGTAGAAATTCTTCTTTCATACACAGCAGGGAGAACTGTGTTTTGGGACTGGAAAAGCATTTCTTTGCTCCTGTACCATTCACCCGAGAGGCTAGCATCTGTAAGTTGTGGTAGGATGGCAGGTTGCGTGGTCAATTGGGCTTTGGGCAGTCTCTGTGTTTCAGCCATTTCAGCACAGCCAGAACAACACATCAGTGTGCTCAGATCTCTTTCTCCCTGTGCGTCAGGATTTGTTAGTTTAACAACATAGCCATCATCGTACCTTGATGTCACATGTACAGTCAGCTCTACATCTGTGACTGCTTTGATGAAAAGCTCACAAGCACTTTGACTCCATCTTCCATCTTTTGGCCTGACACCATCCAGAGTGCATTTCAGAGAAAGACATGGCAGCTTTTTGAAATCATCAGGAAGGGTCCTGATGTTCTTCCTGTCAACCATTTCAGTGTTTCCATAATCAACAAAGAACACCTTGACCTGTATTTCGCCAACTTCAGCCACAGTTGCTCTATAGAAGTCACCATCTTCTGACTTGGCAGCACAGAACAGCCCAACAGTTGGATTTGTCACCACATGTTTATTCACTGAATCTGTGTACAGATGGTAGATACCATCCATCAATTCATCCAACTCATTTGCATAGTTCTGTGTTTGGATCCAAAACTCTGATGGGTCAGATACGTGCTGAACAAAAGCCACATGGGAGGAGTTGAGAGAAAGGTCTTCAGCTGGCAACTTTTGTATGATTCCTTTCCCATCTTCGTGCTCTACAGCAGGAGTTAGCATCTTTCTTTGATTTGTTTCTTGCTGAGCTGTATGCTTGCGGCTGTGTGCAGTGCTGATGGCATAATCTCCAAGTGTTTTCTCACTCTCCAGAAAACAGCTCTGCTTGGAACCAAACAAGTTGTTAATGTTTGTGTTTTCATCCCCATACAGTGTGACATAGTGAACGCCCTCGGAGATGCTTTGGTACTCAAATTTGGCAATCACCGTTTTGTGCAAAAGAAGGGTCCTGAGATAGTCAATCTGGCTGGTTGTCCATCCAACCCCTTTGTCAATGATTCCATGAAGGGAACAGATGTAAGTCACAACGGGCATCCTGAAGAACTCTGCACCCAGAGGTCTAACATTCTCCACTTTAACAAACTGTTTTGTTCCATAGTCAACATTCAACACTTCTACCATTTGGTTGGACAGGAAGACCTGTTGCAAAACAGAGCGGTACCACCTGCCATCATTTCCTCGTGCAGCACATGGAAACCCAATCATTTCTGGACCTACAATGCAATTGGTTGTTCTGCCCTCACAGCACTGTGTGATCTGCCCTGAGAGTTTCTTTAACTCTTGTGAGAAAACCTTTAACTGGCAAAATATCCTCTGCGGATTTGTGACTTCTGTGACTATGACGGTCTCCACAGTTCCGTTCGGCAGCTCTGGATACAGGAAGACCTCTTTCTTGTGCAGTCGCTCACCTGCTTCAATCGGTATTTGAGTCACCGGAGACACTTCATCTGCATTTTGGGACTGCAGTGACTTGAGAACAAAGTCCTGAAACACATCTGGAGACAGCTTCTTGGCAATCCCCATCTCATACATTTGTTTGGAGATGCAAGGAATGTGCAGGAGAAATGTTCTGTGTGGCACAAGTACATCTTGCACATGCGCTTTCAGTGACTTACCGGAAAGAGATTCCAGAAATTCCAGAGCCACAGGAGACCATCTGTTTTGAAGCGAGAGTGGTAACACATTAGCTAGTACACAAAATTCCACTTTGGGTGGCAGCTGGTAGTGCTTCTTCCTACCCCATGCCAGCTTGTTTGTGGTGGTGTTAAATGTCATCCCTTTGTCAATGAGAAACACACTGTAGTTTGACCCATTCCTTGAGACAATGCGGGATCTGTACCAAGTAGCATCTATCTGAACCAAGCACTGGTCACTAGGATTTCCTTCAAACTCTTGAAATGAGTTACCAGGGCATTGGATTTCTTTGAAAAGGCACTCGTAATCTGCTGTCTTCTCTAGGTCAAATGTTCCCCATAATTCCACAAGAGCACAAAAGGGACTCAAGTGAACCTTGGTTATGAAAACAGTTACATCTGACCCTCGTGCAGGGAGTCCAAGGATTGAAGACATGTTGGCATTTTCATGAATCCCAGCTGCGCATGATGTGTCACCTCTCATCAACACAGCCGCGTAAGCACTGGATGTTATCTGGGAAACATACAAACAGAAAACAAAAGAACACATTAAACACAACATTGAAACTCAATCCTATAATTATTGTTCCCCTGTATTTTGAAATAGAGATCAGATTCGGGAAAGCAACTAACAATTATCAATCAATACAATTCTAAATAATAAATTCTAAAACACAAAATAATAGCAACGAGTGAGTTTTACCCAATCAACACTCAAGATATTTAGTTATTACACAGAAGAAAATACAAGCAGCAATCCTTAAAATGGAAGTGTAAGAAGGAAAACAAATTGTTATACTTGGTATAACACTTGCCAATATTTTTCTGTTAATCTTCTAATCTATAACTGAACTATATTTCAAGTCTTACCACAACAAGGTATCATTTTTTGTGCTGACGGTATTATATCACTGTATAAAATAACGTATGGGATAAACGCAAAACATTCTCGTTTTTGACAATGTAAGTGAACAAATCTTAAGAACATTGTTTTTTTCCGAAACAGATCTGTGTATTGGCTCCAAATAGGAATATCATTACTATAGACTTCAAGCAGACAAAGACCACCACATAAAGAAAGGGTTTTGAAAATTGCTGTCGATCTCTAGACATCTCCATCAAGCAGAACTGCTCTGTGATAAACATTTATTTTCTAACAGTAGTCCAGAGGAGGAAGAAGTACTCTGATCCTGTACTTAACCTGGTAAGCCCGAGAGCCCCCGGTACCGGGGCAGCGTTTTTTTTTCTTCACGAAACTGTGTCTCAGGGCTTCTTAACATTTAAAAACCTATGAATGTCTCATACTCAATTAACGGGAAGAAACTCAGCTACCTGACGATACGAGCCATTTTTACCGAAACAAAACACAAGTCTCACAAGAAGCGTTAGCATTAGCCCTTAGCGAAAACGGGCTGATGCTACTTCCGGTGCTAACTAGCAAAAACTATCTTTAAAACTTAATATGTTCTGCACAAACTACATATCATCTGAAAGCTGATACTTATATCAAAATAATCTGTGGAGTATCATCACTGCACGACAAGAACTCACTGAGCTAGCAGCCAGAACAGAGCAAGAAAACAACAGTTTTCTAAACCATAACAATAATTATGTCTTACTGTTGCCGTTTTGTGATCAAAAATCGTGTTCAAGGGAATAAAAACGCTGCTCAAGGTTAATCCAATGTCTCTTAATCACTTTAGAATTGTTCCTGATAATCCATCACTACATTCATGGCAGCAGAGTAGGTATAAAGTTTTGCAGTCCGGGGCTAATGCTGTCTCTCACGAGGTTTACGCAAACCTCTTACTCCTCCACGTAAGTCTTTAGCGCAGGGGTCACCAACCTTTTTTAGGGTGAGGGCTACTTTTAAAAATAAAACAAGTCGGGGGCTACTTTTACTCCTCTTTTTTTGCAGTGTATATATTTAGCACATTTTAACATTATGATATGCTTACCTTTAACCTTTGTGTGCGGTTTGGGTCTGTGGGACCCGTTTTCAGTGTTTACTAAAATAACATGTATTAGGGCTGAGCGATTATGGCAAAAATCATAATCACGATTATTAAATACGATTATTCATTGACTTTGAAAAAATCCATTTATTGCACTTTAAAACAAATACAAACAATAATTTGAACAGTATCTTTTTAACTGTTGATTACCCTGAACGTATAATTCAACTGAAAAACCAATACAAAAATAAATGATACATTTAAATAAATAATATAAAAATAATAAATACCAATAAACAAGATCAACAAATATTTTGGAGCGCACTTCCACAAGCTACTAAACATATATAAATATGATAAATACAAATAAATGAGACTAAAATTAATTAGATAAAATATGTTGCAGTGCACTGTCACAACCTAGCAAAGCAAAATAATTGTTTTTTTCGATTATGTTGTTTTCGTAATTGTGGCAGGCCAAAATCGTAATTGCGATTAAAATACGATTAATTGCACTGCCCTAACATGTATGCAATTTAATTATTTTAACCTGCTTTATTTGGGGGTGGACGGGCCTCACCTCCTCTAGGGGGGTCCACACCTCCTCTAGGGGGGTCCTAACCTCCTCTAGGGGGGACCTCACATCCTCTAGGGGGGTCGGGGGGCATGCACCCCCGGGAAGATTATTTTTAATGTTGAAGTGAAATGCATCAATCTGGTGAATTGATGGATACAGCTCTCAACACTCAGATGAAAGGGAGCTGTATACTTTTCAATAATCCAAACATCTTTAGAATATGATCACAACCAATAACAAATCATTTAAACTGGTTTATTCTTATCTTATGTTAGTTTCTTTCTTTATGCTTATTTTACTAATCACTCTCCTTTCAAACTGTTTGTTTCTGTCCTATACACATTGGAATGATTTCTTACTTTATCTATATTAAATAGATAACGGTATGCTCTCCCTAGCTCTCTCGCTCGCTCTCTCTACCAAGGTCTGAACAATGTTTAATATCTCTAAAAGTAAGAATCAGATTTAAAAGTTGTGTTACACGAATAATGTCAGAAAGATGTGTAACATTTTAAAGTTGGAATGAGGTTTCTGAGTGAAAGTATGAATGAACAGTTAGCAGTTGAAGTCGCATGAAGATTTGTTGAAGTCTGAAGAATTTCTCCATTGACTTCAATGGTTAAAAATGTGATGTATTATGGGATGTATCTCTGGAATTATGAAAGTTATGAATGATAAAAGTAATAGCCATCGATTCCTGACCGAGCTGAACGTTTTGATGTTTGAACGGAGTTTCTGCGATGTTGAATGTGGGAGGAGAAGAGGGCCAAAATAATTGGATGGAATAATAAGAATTTTGTCCGTAGCATAACATATAGTGGGAATGCTGTATCAGCATTCCCACTAAATAAAGCTGTATTGTATATATCAACCCAGTCTATATATACATATACAGTGTTTCCCCTAGGTTTACTGCCTTGGCAGGGTGCTGCTTGGGTACCCCCCCCCAAACGCATTAAAAAAAAATAAAAAATAAAGGATCCTCTGGTGCAGAGGAGCTGTGGATTATTGTTATTGTTATCGTACAGTAACAAAGTATTTGTACATTAAAAAGTAATAAAGTACAGTGTTACACTGTCCTGTATTACTTTTATTCAAACTGTATTCCCTTCTTATCATGTAGCCTACACTTCTTCCTTTCATTGATACATTTAAATCACCTGACTACAGCATATAGCAGGGGTACTCAAATACAAATCTTAAAGGTCTAAACTTTTTTTTTCAATAAGAAAAATGTCCGTTTATTACGGTCATTCAAACAATTGCAACAAGATTCTTAACACGAGGTTGCAAAAACAAAAATAATCTGTATGCAGCAGTTTTCATTGTTATTGTGTCTGTGCTTGATCCCTCAGAGTCACAGTGTAAGAGCTGCAGTTATGAATAAAGGCAGCTGCACCCTCTTTCATTCAGCATTGCCATTATTGCTTTATAAATGTCTTGCCCCCTTGTGTGTCCACTGAGGTTCGTCAGGCCCAACACATCTTCAACAAACTCCCCCTTTGCCTCATCATAAAAACTCACAAACACCAGCAACTGAGCATTGTCAGTGGTATCAGTGGACTCATCCACAGCTAAGGAAATGCACTGTGCATTTTTTATTCCATCACAAAGCTGATTAATCAAATCACCAGCCAGTATTTATGTTCTTCTGGTTGCTGTGGAATCTGAGAGGGGGATTTGCTTGATTTGACCTGTTATTTCCTCTTTTTGTTTGCATTCAAACATGGTCTCCATCACTTCAGTCATGCATTCTTTTATACTTCAGTTATTATCCAGTGGAATGCCCTTACCTACTGGCCTAGTTAAATCAAAGTGGTTACTTTTTTTGGCTGGGCAGTGTAGTTTTACACACCGTCTTATTTGACTTTCTCAGGACTTAAAACTGTTTTTTGGGGGCAGACCCCACAAAGAAAAAAATATATTTACACACGTAAGTAGAGATGTCCCGATCCGATCACGTGATTTTCAAAAGATTGGAATCGGGAGAAAAAAATCGGGGATCGGGGATTTTTTTAAAAGATTTTATAAAACATTTTTATTATTTTATTTAATGTTACAAAACAAAAATGACCATGTTCACGTCTTAAAGTCATCCTGAGGCCTTAGTTTTGGTTTAAAATTACACAACATCATGTATGTGTTGCTTCTTTTGGGCTTGTTTTCATAGACCAGAGGCCTGTACTACGAAGCCGGATTTTCCTAACCTGGATATGTTGGAGTTAGCCGGTTGGCCCAATCCAAAACATACGCGCTCTCGCTAAGCTGTACTACGACGCTGGTTATCAAGTGGATCGCTCAAGCCAGCCGTGTCCTATCTAGTTAGGTGCGCGTTCACATGAAAGGGGTGGTATTTGGAGCATTCGACCAATCTCAAACATGGATAAGCGTACTGACAGCGCAGCGTCATACTTCCTGAATGAAAAGTGAACTTTAATATTAGTCAAATATGAAGAAGTTAAACTTTAAACATCCATGACTTAAACACTTTATCCAGGATAAAAGCCACATAGCTGCACCTGCAAGGTGAATACAGCTGGTAAAAGAAAAAGTGTTTGAATGCGTACATTAACAGGTTTATGATATCACTGCCCCGTCTAAGACACGAGTGGATCTGACTTTAATTACATTTGACTCGAGTGTTTCGTCAACTTAATGTGTTGCTTAAAAGAATACTTCTGCATACAGTATGTGACACTGTGAGTGTTGCACGGCCAGATACGGCTCAAGAAGCATAAGGAAATATATGATACATTATGATGTGATATGAATGATAATGGGACACATCGACGTCTGCACTCAGTGCCGCGGACTGTACTTAATGTTACTCTGATCCGGTTACTTATGTTGTGGCAGATATTTAAGTAAGCTTTCTTAACGCTAATGTTATAATAGTCAGATTGCTCTGAAGATGGGAGGTGATATTCTATTCATTTTCACGTTCACACAGTCAGTTGATTTTTGCCGGCCGTCTTTCCTGCA